CTCCCCATCGCCAGCCCTGGCCAGAGGCCTCCAGTGCACCAGCTCTAGCACTGCCAGCTGTGGCTGGACACCAGTCCGTGCTGCTTTTGGGTGGGAAGTGCCGTTTGTAAGCCTTATCTTTCAAAACATTTTGGAGTATAAATTCAAAACTGTTAGACAAGGCTCTGAGCATCTTGATTCAGTCAGATCCACTTTGAGCAGAGGGTTAGGCTACAGGACCTCCAGAGATCTTTTCCAATGTATACTGTTCTGTGCTTCTATCCTACTTCTCTGTGGCAGTACAGGTCAAGCACTTGTGGTGTGTTGTGAATGTCCCTTTTCGTCCTCCAGACATGTTCATAACTATAGCTACTTCCAAATCCATACACCTATTTCATGGTTATGAACAGTCACTGTGCAGCAATGAAACAACATTACATATGCAAACACTTAAATTATAAGAAAATTTTGATTTAGGTCCTGCTTGCTTCTTGAAGTCTTTTTCTAATATATTTATATAACAAGATGTACTGTCACAGAGATAGGGACTGCTTTATAGGAACTGAAAAATTAATTCTGTGCTGCAATACATATTTAATAGCCTACTGCAAACTATGTAGAGACTAAGAAGTGAAGATATTAAAGCATTCAAGGGATAAATCTCTTACATTATTTTTTGTGGTTACTAAGGCACAGAATTTAATGATTTTTTTTTTTTTTCTCCCCCCCCAGGTTCCTAATCTTCAGGCCCTAATATTGTGCTCTGGAGCTCTAGTCGCAGCGGGGAGAGAGCCTTTTAAACCAAACAGTTATGATTCTCTTGTGTATTCACGGCCTGCTAAATTGCTTGGAATTGCAAATCGTGTCTACCCAAAAGCAAATGACAAGTCAGAAAGCGAAAATAGTAAGTTCTTTGAATTAATTTGTATTTTACTAATTGGTTTATCTATCTCGGCATAAGACATAAACTGTGACAATCTTACTTGGATCAGGGATATTCAAAAAGGCCAGCTGAAAGTGTTTATATCTGCTCTGACTCCTTTATAAGCATGAGAAAGATCAAAGTGTTAATGTTAATTTCAAAATGTAAGTTTCTGCTAAGTGCTCAGCTAGTACACATTTTTCATTCAAACAGACTTATTTAGAACATGGATGCTAATCTATATTTTATTTTAATGCACTTAACTGTCATTGTTATTAATTTGTTGGTGTCACAGTTAATGACAGCTGTAAAAGGCTACTTCAGGCTCTTAACTGACTGAATTTCTTGAGCAAAACTTTTGTGCCATTTTCAGAACTAAGCAAGTGGAGATTTGTCTTATCATTGTCATAACTTGGACTTTTCCCAGGTCTCATGCTCCACATAAACAGGAAAAAACATTATAGCACCCATCCACTTGCAAATTCATCACATTTTTGAAGCTACTTTTCTCTAAACAGTGTCATCCTTTCCTATAGCCTCATGGCTGTGAAATATGTTTTTTTGATAACTTTGCGGAAAGATGCACAAATATGTTCTTTCCCTTTGGAGCTGTGCCACTGACAAGGTCAATAAGAGTATGAAGTGGCTAAAGGATGATCAAGAATATGAAGAGCTGTTGGAGAGAAGCCAGGCTAGCTGAATAGCCTGAGCTTGAGGGAAACAAAATACTGGAGTACCAGAGCTTTAGTCATGTGGGAATTAAGGGATCCTGGAGGACAGAGGTACTGTCTAGGGGAAAACTTGTTTAATTCAAGAGATACCTTGTACCTGATACAACTGCATGCTGTACTGGAGAGCCCAAGGAACACTAATTTTTTTCTGTACTGAGGCTTTCTATGGTAATCTTGACTGTGCTCATGGAGCACATGAATAGAGAAGACACTTTCCTTCCATTTACTTGGAGTTTCTTCCACATCCCTCGCAGTTTATTGCGTCCCCACCAAACTATTCATTTTAGTGTTTCTCAGCCTTCTTTGAATTGCATAGCTTGAGAGCTGTTTGCAGAGTATAACTGAGTCAAGAGAGAACAAATAAGAACATTTTGAGAATTAAAGTTCTACAGAAACAAAAAAATACTACCCAAATTTTGCTCTGAGACAGACTGAGCCTTGCAATTGTAGGACATGTGAGTAGCTGAGTACTTGATAAGCTCCATCTTCTAATCCTTAGTTAACAGCAATTACAGAAAGAGAAAGAATCAAAACCAACCCTGTTTTTGTCTTTAACCCGAGAAATTCAAAAGTATACTGTGTCGGAGACATCACTGATGATGTGAGAGCCTGAAAAATCAAATTTCACGCACTTTGTTCCAATTCCATTTCCTGAGACAGAGAAGGCAATATTTTTTACTTTGGGAAGCATAAGGTCTGGTCTATATTAGAGGAGAGATTATAAACTTTTATTTCTGATTCAGTTCGTGGCAAAACATATGCCTGGGAAACTTGCAGGGCACTCTGCCTGAAATTATAGGCATGTATCTATAATAGTAATATGTTAACTATGAAAGTCTTGATACGACCATTTGTGACTCACTTGAGAGAAAAAAGAAAAGCTTATATTCAGGCAACATAGATAAGTTAATATTACATGTGTTATAATACCTTTCTGTAAGTTAAACCTTTCTATTAAATGGCAGCTTCTACATATTTAGGTATCAGTAGCAGTTGTAGATGTCTTTGTGTGGGTGTACACGCACCATTTCCCTCGTACATGCAGAACTTGGAAGACAGCAAAGCTTTATTTTTATCTCATGTTCTTTTATCTCTCACCTCTTCAGTGAGAACTGCTTGAGAGAGATGAGATGTAGACTTTTAAAAAGCCAAGTTATTACAGAGTAATAAAATATTTCCAGAGTATTTAATTTGTATGCAAACACATATTGGGGCATACATGAAATTCATTGGAGCCTGGAAATTTTCTCATCGGCTTTACTGAGTTTTGCACCATCATCCACAGTACTAAGGCATAAAATATGTCTCAGAATGTAACAAATTAAATTCAGATTTTGTAAGAAGTTCGAGTGCTTCAATGGTTATTTCCCTATAGAAGATCAGTCCAGGAGACTGGATCTGAACCTTTATTCAGATGTCAGTGACACTACTCGCAGTAATCACTCATATGCTGTAGATTGTTGGACTGAGCCCAGGGAGATAGATGTTCACCTTGACTGACATATTTTAGTACTAACTGTAAGAACCAACACAAAATGATATATTAATGATCACTAAGGCATGAAGAAAAACTAAAGTTGGTAGCTTGAACTCAAAACAAATGAGGGCCTGTGAATCCCTTGAAAGGTTCAAGGCAACTTCAGCTCCCAACTATGCATAAAGTAAGAGCTTTTATTACTATTTCAGGCTTTGGAGCAATAGCTCTGGCATTAGAAAGAACCTACTGTAAAATAAAATTTAGAGGAAATGTAGTTAAATGCTTGATTCTTTATCAAAAATTGGTTATATTTCTCTCTAACAGTTTCTTAAAATAAACAAAGTTAACCATGTTTTTCTCTTTACTTTCTAATACTTTGGTAAAATAAGCACACTTCATTAGCTTCTTTTGTACTAATTTTTCTCCTTCTCTCTTCCTTTGCTGCCTGTCTGCTGTCCCACCATCTGGATCCTTATGCATGGTATTTGTCTGCTCTGCTTTCCACCTACTGAATGAATTTGGATTTTTTGAATGTAACTATTGTTAGCGAGAGCTGAAATGGGCTCTAGCTCAAGATCTCAGATATTCTCATTTTCTTCCGATAAAGTGTCCAGCAATGATAACAACTCAGATTCTTCCTATGTTCCTGAGGGTCATAATTGTATACGAGGAAATCGGTCAGTTACTGGTGAAGACTTATCTGTGGCACAGTATGAAGATGACATTGAGAAATCTGTTCACCTTAATCAAGATGGCAGTATCACAGTGGAGATGAAAGTTAGATTAAAAATTAAAGAGGAAGAAACTATTAAATGGACAACCACCGTAAGTCGTGCTGGCCTTTCGGATGACAAAAATACCATCATCTGCAATTCTGCAATGCCTGTGGAGGACTGCTTATCCAATGTTAATGGTTCTGAATGCATAAAACCAAAGGATACTCCATATTTGAAGAGCTGCAGTAAAGAAGAGGGAGACTCATTACAGCAATTTAATGCAGAAGGGTCAGACAAAGAATCAGAGTCTGATTTAAAAACTGCTGGTTGTAATGTTCATAAGAACAGTTCTGCAGACCTAGGTGTAAGCAATGAACCTGAGGATGACATCAGGCCTCGTTTCTATAGGCCTCCCACACCTGGGCCAAGGCGCGTTAGACAAAAGAAAGCAGTAGTTGAAAGTGTCACTTTGGTGTCTGAGGAAGAGGTTCAGGAGAAGACAATAGGACAGTTTTCCTACAGTGAGGAAACAGAGAATGGAGAAAATAAATCTGAATATTGCATGGTAGCTCATTCAAGCAGAAAAAAATCAAATGTAATTAATCCAAAGTTTAGTGAGATGAGTGACAATGATTTATTAAAACTTTCTTCGGATAATATAAAAGAAGAAATGCTTTTTAAAGTAAGCCACAAGAGCAGTGATTTGATAGAAGCCACAAATAGGAAGACAGAAGTGCCTGGCGAGGGTGAATTGGTACAGAATATATTAGAGAAATCAGTAGTAGAACAAGGTACTTATAATAGTTTAGTATCAACCTGCAAAACTAACATCAGTGGTTTCGTACCATCATCAAAATTACACCAGGCAGCTAGGCCAGTTTCAGCAGATCACATCCATGAGTTGTGTGATATTAAACAAATAAAAAGATCACTGAGTTCTTTCATTAGATATTCAGAATTATGTCAGTCAAAAGAAGAAACAATATGTAAAGCTGCTGATTTATTACCAATTTCTCAAGATTCTGTGAATTCAGCCTCTCTCAAACATAGCCGGGTAAAGATAATGGTACCTCCATGTAGAGAAGCTGTTACTGAGAAAATAAATCCAACATCTGGATTCTTTCCTACTGATATTGGTAGTGAGAATCAAAGCAGTGTCAAGACTGGATCTGTGACAACACCACATCTCACTGATGACAGAGAATCTGCGTCTTCCCTCACCAAAAAGAAGAAGAGAAAATCCTCTAACTTTCTAGAGCAAGTTACATATGAAAATCAAAAAGATAGAAACATTTCTGGAATACTTAAAAGTGAGGGAATGCATATCACAAGCCAAACCACACAGGATTATGTAACAGAGGCTATGGATAATTCTTCTGATATGCTTCATAAAAAAGAAAAGGATTTTTTTGTAAAAAGCAACGAGGGGTCTGTCAATTCTGAAAATAAGATATGTCCTGGAGATGAGTTCTATCAAGAGGATTCAGGGGAAAAAAATGGATTATCATCTAATAAAGAGACAAGTAATAACAAGAAGTTGGCCAAAGTAAAATTGAAGTCAGGCAAAAAAAATAGTATCATTTTTTCTGCAAAGAGTGACAATGGTCTAATCACTGTTGATTCAAACAAAGAATCTCTACACAACCAGGATACACTGAGTACAGAGAAAGAAGGCACACATCTCACAAGCAATACTTATGAACAGACACCAACCTCATCAGTGACTTCAAAGCCATTGCCAGACGTACCAAAGAATCTTAAATTTGAAGAAGAAAAGAATATTTTGGAAAAATTGTCATCAAAGAAACAGAAAAAGCAAAAGGGGGTGAGGAAGAATTTAAGTAAAGGTGCAAATAAGTTAAATATGCCAGAGAGAGTCATTACTTTAGAAGCTCTAAAACAGGAGGACTTTCAACCTCTTGTTGAGCATTCACTTGAAAACTATGTCCAAAGTTGGCTGAAAAACTTGTTACCAAATTCTGTCTTACCCCCTATAAATAAACAAGAAGGTAACGTAGAGAATAGCAGTAATTTTCCTAAAGAAAATACTGATGTTTCTATAGGTAAAGAAACAAGACTTATTGCAAATAAAGTGCATGTGACTGAAAAAAACCATCTGGTTGAAAAAAATCTAACCAAAAAACTATTAAAGCCTATTTGTGAAGTAGGAACTTTGGATAAATCAGCTAAAGATTCAGGTGAAAAACAAGCTGATTCTTTGATTCATGCTCATACAACTATAGTAGAAGCAGCCAAGTATTCACTAAAGTCAGAATTGCATCATGATGGTAAAGTGCACTTGTTTCATGAAACCCATGAAAATGATAAAAAGATGTCAGAAGCTGATAGTCAAGATACCAATCTGTATCAAAGAAAAAAATCTGAAGTTGCTGTTCAAGTTGATTGTACAATTGTCAATGAGAAAATGGGAATTGATGTTCAGAATAACTGCATGTCTAGCATGTTACTGCAGGAACTACAATCAACTTTGCTTGGTCTCCAGAAAGAACATAATGGATGTATAGGAAAAGCTTGCAGCCTTTCAGATCTTTCTCCTTCAACTTTTGGTTCTTCCTCCAATGTCCTCCTAGCTTGGCTACTTGTACTGAATCTGAGAGAGAGTTTGATTGGGACAATTAAAGATGACATGCAAAAAAATACCTGTAGCTGTTCTGAAATATTTACACAGTTACACTTGCTGAAACAAACTACAGTCATAGAAAAAGTTGATGAACTGAAGGCTGCCTTCTCACATTTTCAACAACCAACAGAAAATAACTTAGTACACTTTGGGAAGGAACTCAAAAAACAGGACTCCACATATTGCCATGAGAATGCATCCATATCTGAGATTCATAATGGTATACACTTGCATGAAAATGAAAAATCAGTTGAGCCTTGTATTCCAAAGAACTGTGTAAATTCTGAAGAAGCTCTAAAATTGACTGGTGAAATAGAAAGCTGTTTTAATATGCAGGAAGATATTTGTAGTGTAACAGAGACTTTAGACTTGAGTGCTCCCAGCCCACAGCTTGATGATCAATATGCCAACACTAATTCAAATACCTGTAGCCTTGCAGCAGCTATATTGTCACCTGAAAGAAATGAAGAAATGCCTGATGGTGTATATGAGAAATCTCAAGATAAGGACACTGATACATCATTCACTAATGAAGAGACAGAAACTTCAGTAGAACCTAACTCGACAGTTCATAGTGTAACTTCTAATGACAAAAATATTTTAGATCAGGATACTTCTGAGGTAGAAGGTGAAAAATATGTTCTACGTGTTTCTACTGATAAAAGTGAAGATGAGAAACTTGATCCAAAGTCAGCAGGTAACGACAAAAACTCAAATAACCAACTTAAACTAGCTGCTGAAACCTCCGTAGAATACAATAATGAGGATTATTCTGTACAGGAAGACAAGGAAGGTGAAGACACTTGTGAGGAAACTTCTGAGAGGTTATCTACAACCTCTCCATTATCATTTTGCTACGAATCAAAGCAAATGACAGAATGTGATACGAGTGAAGAGGAACAGAAATTTCAAGTAGAACTACAGAATAAAATGTGTTCGGACACTTCTCAATTAAAAAAATGTTTAAAAAGTCCTGCTACTTCAGACTTGTCAGATTACAGACCAGATACTGAAGAAAGTGCTTATGATGTTAGAGCATCCAGTGATTTGACCAATGAAAGTGCTGATGAGGCAGCCCTTGAAAAACATTATAATACTGGCTATGTAAAAAGAACTATTGAACGACTTTATGGCAAGACGGAAGCTTCATTTAAGCCTGACTTTCACAATGGATTCCCTTATTTGTCCAAAGTACTTCAAAAGGACACTGAGGAATTCCACTCTGCGGTGGTAGAAAAAAACGTTCATTTTTTTCAGGAAGCTTGTTCTGTAGATAAATTGTCCCATTCTTCACTACCATCACAAGAGTTTTCAATAAACATAGACAAAGGCAACACTATATTGAGAGAAGAAAATACTTCTTTACCAACACCACAACCTACTCCTAGCAGAGAAGAGACAAGTTATACTAATGGCTGTTCAGGGGAATCTTCTAAGCAACACCGTCAACTTAGTGTTCGAGATAATGAAGATGAAGGAATATTGATAGATAAAGGCAAATGGCTTCTCAAAGAAAATCATTTGATAAGAAGATCACCACCTGAACAGTTTGGCATGTATGGTAATTTGGACACAACATCAACAGACACAGTCCTTGATACAAACAGTGATGATGTTCCATACTCACATTTTGGCAATTTGAATCAGTACCCAGACCTCAAGGAAATCTCTTCTTCTGAACTTGAGGACATGGCTAAACCTTCTGAAAATTTTTGCAACTACTTCAATATACCTCATAATAGTGATTCAGACCCCTTTCAGGATGACTTCAGTACAAAAAGCAAACCTAGCTGCAATGGTAAGATCACTTCCCTTCCTGCAGCAAACAAAGAAAAGATCAAACCATCCATCATGGTAGGTTCTACTTCAACACAGGCTGACAGCAATTTTCCATCTTTTACAACTGTAGAATTTAGATTGCCTGATAACAAGGTGCATCCATTGGAACCACCTTTAAATGATGAGCCCATACAGACTCAGCCTCAGCCAAATGATGTTAGTAATGCTAACAGAAATGCTCTTCAGGAGGAAGATTCTTTGGATAAACTCCATGCTATATGCGGCCAACACTGTCCAATTCTGATGGTGACAGTAACACCAATTAATGAGGAACAGAGAGGATATGCCTACCAAAAGCCATCTGATATTGAGAACCAGCTGGGTCCATGTTTACTGGCAAAAAAGAGTGAATATTTAAAATGGTCAGAGGAAGATTTGGTAACAGACAAAAATAATCATGTGACTCTGAAGAATAATTGTATTAATAAGATTGCAAATAATATTTTTAATAGGTTTTATGCTAATAACACCTTAGATTTTATTAACAATTTTGGAATACTTGTATCTTCAACTCTGAAAGACGCAAGCAATTTAAGAAAGTTACATGTTCTAGAGTATATGAATGTTAAACATGTAAAAGTCTGTAACTGTCAAAATAATATGTTCAAACACATACCAAGTGATCTTGTAATAGGCAATAATAGTGAGCTTCCCAATAGAAAGCCAAAAATATGCCAAACTCTAAGAATAAGCCTAGTTCATATTGTTGGAGCAAAATTTTCTCCCATATTGGCAGATCCAGCAGAAGCCTGTCATTCTGAAACATTTCTGAAGTGTGACACTTCTTTAAATAACACTGAAAGTAATGCCTCTGAAAACCTGAAAAATGAAAATGCCTTTCCTACCGAAGATGAAGATGTCTGCTTTCGTACTGTGGACAATGAAAACAGTAAAGATGAGAAAGACTTGTAATAGAGATCATAGAATGTCTATACCATTAGATTAATGAAAACATCTTCAGAAAATGAAAAATTATCACAAAATAAACTGCCACATCAAATAAAACTCCCGGTGTGAATGCAGCCCAGACCTAGATAAATGTAAATCACAATTGTACATCGTTGCTAAAATACAGATAATTATTTATATTTTTATGGGAACCAACATAGGAAGAAAAGCTGTCCTTCTAAGACAGTGATTTCTTGGTTAAAAAACAGGTTTTCCCTGAAAGGTTATCTGTTCAGAGGTACTCAGTTATATACCAAGCAACTCATTTGCAGAGAAACAACCACGGCTTTTTAGAGAACTGAAATTTGAAATACCCTCTCAACTTCTAAGATAAGATTCCTGTACCTCATGACACCTGAGAAAAGGTTTGAGAATTGTCTTTCAGTTGAAATGCTTTTTACAGAACAAAATCAACTGTTTAATTTGAGATGAAAAGTAGGAATTACTGTTCAAACACTGTAATGCAATAAAAAGTAGGAGACAAGTCATGTTAATTTTATATAGATTATTATCAAGTTCCTGTTTGAGTTTTCAAAGGCCAACTTCAGTATATTTGTGTGAGTAAAGAGATATTTCAGTCTATATATAAGACTTCTGGACCCCAAATGAAGTTTGCCTCTTTTATCCAGAGGATACTAGAAGAGGAGCCACTGGGATTCCGCAGGAACTAGGAAGGGATACTGTGAGTCTGAGGACTTTTTTACTGCCCTTGACATATTCCCTATTAAGGCAGCTCCACTTTTAAAACTGTTCTCCATACACTACAAGTTTTAGTTGTGTGTTTTTCTTTAATCTATGTACTTTAAAGGTGGTCCATGTCTTTTTTTTGTTTTGTTTGTTTGTTTCTGTAAATACGTTGTATTATGAAAATCCAAGGCATATGTAATATGTTTCAGGATCTTTCAATCTGTTATTAGAATTATTTTGGATAACTGTTTACATAATTTTTTAATATAATACGTGCATAGTAAGCACTTATATGATTTACAGTTTTCAGTAAATGATTTCAAATGTAAAATTGGAAAATATTTAATGTATGTTGTGATTAGGCAGAGTATTTCAGGTTTTTGGTTAGATTTTAAAACCTAACAGTGCATAGTTATCTTGCTTCACTGTTGATGAAGTCAGGGATATACCTGAAAAAGGTAGGTGTTTTTCAGTTAGAGAATGAGAATTTGACCATTCTGTATTCTTGGAGGCTGTGTCTAGACCAACTGCTGTGTACATAAGCTCTGGATGATGATCCTTTGGTTATCCAGACTGGGGACCTAATTAAAGGCTGACACAAATCCCTGTTGGCCTAGCGGCTTTGGCTGTCTCCCTGTGGGATAGAAGGCACGTGGAGAGGAAGTAGAAGTTGGATATGAAGCAAAAAGGGTTTGCAGTAGAGGTAGGAGGAAAGCTTAGTAGCACTCTTCAATTTTTTGTAGGAGTGTAGTGGTAGGTATATTTCCCCATAGATAACTGATCCATTTCTGTTTTTTGAAGCAGTGTGTTTTATGCAATAAACTCACATTACAGCCCTAAACCAACAGTATATCGTCTAATATATTTAATACCAAGGAGCTGTGTTTTATTTCCTATGCTGGCCTTGTTTCTTCCCTCCATCTCCACGCTTTTTGGCATACATCTCCACATGTTTCATAACTGCTCCAAGTGAAGAGTCTCAATGGTATTTCTTCATCCTTTTGCATGTCAATACAGAAATAAAACCTATGGAAAATTAAGCTTGAAAGCACTAGAATCCAGCTAAATGCCAGACAGCATTCTGAGTACTAGGCTTCTGCGCTGTAAATATCTAAATGTTAGATAGGCAAATTAGCATATATATATACGCACATGTCTCCATCACTTGCAATTTTTCTGCTGTATTCACAGCACATTAACTTTTTCAGGTCAAGGTTCAAGAACCTTTAATTAGATGCTTATTAGAGGGTTAATGAGCAAACTAAGCACTCAAGAGGTGAGATGTGAGGTACTGCATGAGATTACAATTAGCAGAGACCACAGCAAGTGGAGAAATGATTGCTATATTAACTGAAAGACTTGCTTGTGATTTTCATGTGTGTTCTGCTAACGACTAGGCCTAACACGAATGACATAACCAGCAGAAAGACAAATCAATAAGTAGAATGTATTGACAAAAAGAAAGTTGTACCCGCAGCAGTCGTTCATGGCATAAACAAGTCAACCAATTTACATACAATTGACACCACCCGCAACGATCCCAGAAAAGACACAATCCGAGACACAGCAGGTGGTGTAAACAGGGAGCCAAGGCTTCCCATGGATGGCAAGGGAAACAGCCAGATCAGAATGCCAAGCAGATAAGACAAAGGTGACCACATGGCAACGCTCACCCGACTAGCCTGCGTTCAGAAAGGTCTGAAGTGACCGGGGCCCAGCTCCAGGGAGAGTCAGGAGGTCTGTCCTGAACCAGGAAGCTCTGTGGAGTGCACTCCACAGACAGACACTCCTGACTCCCTGCAAGTGGTCCCAGCTTTTATCCCCAAGCAGACACCTGACCTTTGTCAGCTCACTGCAGGACCCCTGGGGCTCATTTCCCTTCTGGCTCTCCCTGCAGGGCCGGCCGCACCCTGGGGGGAAGCTATAAGGCAAACTCACCTCCTCTGTATGAAGGGCTGTGGGAATCACCCATATGTCAACCTTAATTTGGGGCTCAGGGTTCAAACCCCAGCATTTCACTGCGTTAACTAAAAAAGAAGGAATAAAATGGTCACCGCAGAGCAGGCTGATAACAGAAGGTAGACGGTAAGAGGTACCATACTGTCATAGGGTATATATATTCATTAATGGTTCAGGGAAGATAGAGAATAATAAAGTTTGTTATCTATAGTCCTTACAGCTTCCACTGGGGGGGATGTTCTGGAGCCTGAGTCCTTCTTCTGATGTTTGTCTTAACAGTTTTCTAATTCCTACCCTAAGCCTAGCCAGGGGTAGTTTATATACATGTATCCCAAAGCAATCATGGTCATTTACTTAGATATGTCTTTTTCCTCCTTAGTATCTATCAACAAAATCAGACTTTCTTTCAACTTTCTATATAAACAGTTTCCTGTCGTCATCATGGTTGTCTTTCTCAGGACGTTTTCTAGTTTCAAAAAATCTTTTTTTTTTTAATATGAGTACCAGAACTTTATGCAATATTTGAAAGATTGTCTCTCTGAAATCTGGGACACTGATAGTAAAACTTCTCTACTTAGAAATCTCAATTCTCGTGCATTTTACAGTCACTCATTCCTCTATTTTTTTAAGTGATAAAGTCCTTGTTCATAACATTAAAAATTGGTAGTATTTTAAAAATACATTTCTTTGTACTTTGCACTGTTATATGTTATTCCTTTTCTACTACTCTGGATTTTCTGATCATCTTATACTTTGACAATTCTTGGTGAATATATCACAGAAATTGACTACTTTATGCAATATATTAATGAAAATGTCAAGTCTAGATAAATTCCTACACTGATTCTTGAGAAACTTACTAACATGCCTATAAATTAATACTTCTAATTTCTGCACAAACTTATAATTTCCCATTTTAGCTATTTTGTTACTCCACAGTCTTGCACTAACCCACTTCTTCATTTTAGCTACAAACTTCTCATGTAATTCTTGGCTAGATTAGAGGTACTGTATTTTCCTTATCTATAAAGATGAATTCTCACCATTAGTGAGTACTTGAACTTTTCAAATCTGGATACATTGTGCCATGTATCTGCAGTAAACTGATTCTGGTGATTTTTTTTTTTTTTAGTTTAGCTGTATATACAGAAGATAACAGTATATTTATTAAAATTTGTTCAAAAACACCTAGTGTAGCTTTGCTGTAACATATATGGGTTTTAGTCTCTCCAGGCACTCTTCATCCCATCCTGATGATTTCCCATTTTAAATTTTCTATTCCATAGCCCACTCTTGTCACCTGTACTGACATTTCCAAACTACTGTATGTTAATGTTCTTATTTAAAAGAACTTAACTATGTGTTCTCAAATTCACTACATAGTCTACATAGTCCTTCTTTTTTAATTCTCTTTTAATATGTATGGCTAAATAACCTTTTTATTAATTTGGTTTATTTTCTTCTGCTATAGCTCACTTTTCAGTTCAGTTGATTTCACTAACCTCTTCCCTTAGTTTTGAAAACTTGCTATTTTTAAATAAAAGGCATTATGGACTAATTTTACTGTGAACTAATATAAATATTGAGGGACTGCAAAAAAAATCATGCCAAAATCTTTTATTGAATAAAAGTCAAGGCCAACACTTCATCTAAACACAGTATTTTCTGGCTTTTTCCTTTTTTTTTTTTTTTTTTCTTTCAGCAATATCTCACAATTAAATTTTCAAAGAGATGTCATTGCTAGCACATGACAGATTTAGAGACAGAGCAGTTATATATTAGAGAATTTATTTGGTATCTTTACTACCCTTGACCTGAAAAAAATGGTCAAACAGATCTTCCACTGACTTCATAGTGAATATTCACATACAGGTAGGGTTGAAGACTGGAAACTACTAGCTGGAAAGGCTCCAAAAGACTAGAACTGTATAGAAGAAGAAGCCATTGCACACAGTGATCTATAGTAATCACTGCTACTTCTAGTCTGATGTAAAGAAAGCTGGATGACATCGCTTTTAATATATAGAAGTGTATATAATATAAAAACTAATGAAAAATTACTGATTTCTTAGATGTGTACATATGCTAGTTTCTCATTTAAAGTGAAAATAACATGGAGGGTTATGTGGTTGATTGTCATCAGTCACAGCTTACAGAAAGTTGGAGTAGACACTGCTTTAGATAGTGTAAAGAATCCCCTTTGTAACAGATACAGCAAGCTGACTTCAGCTGTGGAAAAAGCAGATTACAACCATTTCTGAGAAGGGTCACACTGCTCTGTCACTGGAAAATGTGATTCTGGCAGTTACTTCTCAGGTCTCAGAGTTATGATTTTTTTTCCCTATTCTCTCAGTTTTATGTGTTCAGGCTATTACGATTCTTGTAAAGATGAAGTTTAGCCTGTTTGTAAGAGTAGCTGTTTGGCAATTAATTATTTAATAATGACAATATAATTACTTCGAAAGCACTGGTACTATAGCTGCACTTTCACAGGAGTTTCAGAGAAGTGCTGCTTTAAGACTGTCTTTAAAACTGAGTGGTGGCATATATTCCAAGTTTCTCATGATAATGATATAATTTAGATGCCTGCTTTTAAATGGTACAACTCCTTTCACATTTTGTCTCTGTCTTTTAAAGTTTTCACATGTTCTACTGAGATCATGGACCTACAAGCAGAACAGTACTGTAGAATTTCAGGGTCTTGAGATTTGTCCTCAGACATGAACCACACCTTAGGTTAAGGTCTTGGTCTCTCCCTTCAAAGTATGGGAGAGAATATTTGTTTTAATAGCTACTGATTCTACAATACTGCATTACCCAAGGAATGTGTGTTTCACAGACAAAGCACAATGGGCACACAAAGGTAAAAATTTCCTCAGTAGGTGTAGCCCAATGGTTATAGCAAGACAAAAAGAAAACTTAGAGATTGTAGCACCAGGTCGCATCCATATGTTAGATGTCATAATGATGTGCATTTACCGTGCCTTGTTTTCTTCCTTTTAATAAGAGCAGTATTAATTGTTCAAACATAACTGATAACTGGTGTAGATGACATATTCTCAACTCATTTATGTCCTAGATACCAAGTTATGCACCATGCCTAGATCAGCCTAATTATCAATTTCTTAAATGTCTTTCCTTTTTGAACAGGGCTAAACATGAACAAGTGAAAATATTAATCCTCCCTTACTTTTTCCATAATGCCACAGAAAACTAAATGCAATTTCCTCAAATCATTAGTTTCACTAGTCCTCAAATATTATTCTGCTGCAGCATAGTTCTGTGTATGTATCATGATCTATGTCCAGTGACTCCTTTGAGAAAATGCCCATGGCTAGCAGTGAAGATAGTGACACTCAAAACAAAAGTTGTTTCACTGAATCTCACACCGGAATTGCAGGATAGCTTATTGCCTGGGGTTTAAGACACGTAGATCTGTTTTAAATATCTCAAAGAGTCAATGAACACAAAATTCATTATATCTTCATAAGCTCACTCATTATCACTCTATTATTTCTTAGTGTTTTAGCCAGTGCAAACAAGATCAAAGGTACTATGATGGAGAGAAAAGTTAGTAATACAGGTAAAATGTAGCATAGATGAGTCAGATGATGGGGGCTTCTGTAGTCAGAAACACCTTCCTTTGTTACTGCTGCTGTACTCTGAAGGAAGTTCTCTTTTAAGAAACAGTGACATTAATCAGTGATGCAAAATTAACAAGCCTAGGGGGAGTTTAAATGCATAAAAATTTGAGATGGGTATCAGCTAACTAGAAACACTGGGAGGATGTTTTCTCAATATCCCTTCTTCTCATCAGCCATCCCTCAGTGATACCATTTCCCTTAATTCCATGCTATTGATACTCAGGTTCCACTAGCCAACTCCTAAATCCATATACATCATCTCCATAATTATGAAGCCTAACCATGGAAAGAGCATTGGTATTTCAGGGTATAATGCCAACACTGCAGTGCAAGAATATGTTGGATCCTTTAATGGATTCTAAACAAGCTGTTACATCTGCATGACCCATCATACCTTTGCAGAGACACAGATCCTGTTTAAGAGGTCTTTCTCAGCAGAGCTAATTTGCTTTGAGAGATCCTAATGCTTGAAATGATGATTTTGTAATACCAGAAGTAGCTTGGTAAGAGCCTGCAATTATTATTATGCTGTGTTATTATGCAGCACTGCATTGGGTAGTGCTGATACAGTGCTGATATATATTGTAACTAGACAGCCATATTTAATACCATTTAGCACAGTATTTCAGTACTGTTTGACAGGTGATCTACGTCCATGGAAATTTGACATAGTCATATGACACATGCAAAGTAAAAGATGTGAATGCACACTGACATGTCTTGGTTTTTGCACACCCAACATAGCAAACTCAATATTTGGCTGATGTAATTTTGTGAAATGTGTATTTCTGTATTCATTAACACGATATTATTTAGAATTTTGTTTACTGAAATGCCTTTTGCCTAAGAATCTTACATTTAAGTAATTCAGTGAGTCTTTTTATCTTTTGATAGCTAGGAAATGGAAGGTGTCAGTCCTCACCAGTGATATGCCAGCTGCAGGAACAAGCTCAAAGGTTTATATTACATTGTATGGGGATCGCAGCAGTTCAGGGCCTATTTTTCTTGATGGAGAGGAAGGAAAATTATTTCAGAGAGGCAATGAAGACATTTTCACAGTAAGTAGTATATATTCAATGTGTTGCCCTCTTGTATCCTGCCAGATTGTATGACATTTCAAATGCGATGAAAAGTAACATTTTTTGTGCGTGGTACATATATCTGGAAAAGAGAAACAGGACTTAAATGCAAAACTAAATTTTGTACCCTGTCGTTACCGACACCCGATCCCCGGGATCTCTGCCACCCAACCTCTGCCGTTGGGTACCATCACAGACACAGGCTTCAATGTGAAGGATGCTGCAAATGGCGTTTATTGCGCAGCTGCAATTGCTTATATAGCACAAGCCACACCCACAAGGCCCCTCGTGGGCAGTCTGAGCTTTCCGGTACATCGCGAGATCTTCCGCACGCCGATCCCTGCCTAGGGCGGGCTCTGCTCACCACAACAGTACCCTTTCCCACTCACCTATCCAAAGATGATTTGATCCAACATATTTCTTGTCTGTTTAAGAACCACTGCTTAATTTACACAGTGCTCAAGAAATTACCAAGAAACAGAACAACAGATACTTTTTTCATTTTTAAACATGAAATGTGGCTACATTATTAAAAATTAAATGAGGGAGTGAAAAATTAGGATATGGAGTAAATTTTTAGATTTTTTACATGCTTCTTGCTTTATTTAAATAGTAACAGTTTTTATACCTGTAATAAAGTCTGTCTACCTGAAGCTGCTTCTACTCCTGGATACACAAGCAAACTTCTCCCCCATCAGTGATTTAAGTGAGCCAAAACAGGCCTCTTATCAAAAGAGGTATAGCTCAAGACTGTGTATGGGTTTGTCAGTGGGTGGTGTCTTTATCAGGTGTCAGCTATGGGGCCATATAACAAACAGGTGCTTCCATTGTTAGTATCCAGGATAGCAAATCCCTTTCTGAGAAAATGTGTTTAATGACAGCATTGATGAAGAGCTTGCTTTTTCCACAACAGCCTCACAGCTGTTTGGGGTGTAGGAAATGCAATTCCTTCTCAGCCTGATGGAGTTTCTCAGAAGAACCCAGCAGTTCTGATAGTATGTCATTCTCCTGTGATTTAAAACAAACAAACAAACAAACAAACAAACAAACAAACAAACAAAACCAACCAAACAAACAAACAAAAAAACCAACAAAAAACCAGTTACAAGATTGAAAGAAGTAGATAAAATAAGTAACCAAGTACCTGACAGATAAAAATACCCTCTTCATAACAGATGATGTTTGGTCTGGCTTTTGCTTCTATTATTGTAATTAATTTCACCTCTGATGACTTTTAAATGCAAAATATGGTGTCAGCCCCTGGTTTGTGACCTAGAATTCCTCTCTTCGGTGAGCATTCATAGCACTGAATACAATTAAGGAGTGTGTACTCTAAAACATATAGAAAGAGAAAAGCCTCTCTGCTTGTGCTGTATGCTAGATCTCAGTTAACTCTGGTCTGTTCTCCCTACTCTGTTTGTTTATTGTTTATAACACTGAGTTCAGGGAAGTTCATGATACAGAGAACTCAGTTCACACCTACCTCTACACTGTAAATGAAAACATGAAAATGAATTCTACAGAAAACAACAGAAGGATGGCAAATCCAGCCTACGTAATAAGAAAAAAAAAAGAGATACAGGAAGGAGGGAAGACACTTGTGGTGTGTTTCCAGTTCCTTGAATATAAGCTCTCTATTTCTACACTTAATTTCATAACCGGTTGTTTGAATAACCTTCACAAAAAGTTATTCCCTCAGCACTCTATTGTCTGTACTGGACACACTTGTCCAGCCTGCTAAGAGCTAAACTTTCAAATACATTTTTTTAAGTTGAGTTACTTGAAATTATTTGTAAAAACAAACATGAGAGCTGAACAGAATTGCTTCCAAACTTGTAAAGCATACCCTCCTGGAGGTGAGGGAGAAACTCCAAAGTATGTGGGAGGTGCCTGGGAGACAGAAATAATTTTGTAGCAGATTGGTGGTATAGATGCTAAACCAAGTCAGGTTCTAGGGTTAAGACACTTTTGCTTTTTAGCCATACATACAGTCTGTATTCATCCCTCACTGAGGCCAGTACTCAGTGAGGAAAAAAATACCTACAGCAGCATCCTGAAGCCATTTAAATGGAGTTGGCAGGCTAACAGATATTTTGAGGGTTGTCCTTTAGAAGAGACAAACTTCTAATGATTATTCAGACCAAGATATTTTGGAAACATTTGTTTAAATATCAGAATATTTAATCCCTATGTAGAAAATGTCACCTGACAGGTACTAAATAAATGTCTTTTGTGTGTCTCTTTTCTTTTAATAAATGTCCTGTGTTTCATCAGGTGTTTCTTTTACAGATTAATACCAGAAACATAGGACATCTCTACAAAATACGCATAGGACATACGAATACAGGAAACTCTCCTGCCTGGAACTGTGAAGAGGTAAAAGCAGTGAGAAAGAATTTTATCATTCCAAAAGCATTCACTATGAGAGCAGAGTCAAAATACAAGTCAGAAAAAAAATCCCTGGGATAAATATATTAATCTCATCAAATGCTTGCAGCTTCATTTAAGAGATTATTTATAAAAGAGTGGTTTTGTGTGGAATTAAAGGTGGCTTATGACGGTATGTCATGGCTGTTTGAAGTTTAGTGAGAGCTGAACATTATACTTCTTTAAAAGTGTGTGGCTGAGCAGCAAGAAAGACTAACTGGCTGCTGTGGTCCGAGTCTTCTACAGTCTTTGTATGCTAGTGTCTAGAGGTTGCTGAAACCCAGAAAGTCGTCGAACTCAAGTTCAATGCTAAGTCCTCCTCAAATCGGCAGCTGATGTTGGGTCCATATACACAGCACCAGAGCTTCATTGCACAAGTTTCTAGTTGTGTGTTTCTGGGGAGAAAAAGACAATAACAGGTTTCTTTCCCTCCTTGTTTAAAAAAAAAAAAAAATCTTGACGCAGATAAAGCAAAGAGAATCAGCTAGTTCTGTTTCAAGGTGCAGTCATGAAGCATAGTATATAGGTTTCTGGACTGGGAATGAATGGATCTGCTTTTATCCTTAACATCTGTGATGTCCTATGTGTGCCAATCATATGCAAAGCATGCCTGAAACACTTCCTTCTTTGTGCCACAGTTTCTTATCCTTCAGTTAAAAGACAGCAGTTTATGAAGGGCTTTAGAAGCTGCTGGCAAACTTGTTATTATAAGACAATTCTCGATAAATCTAGATCTATCTAATGCAAAGTACCCACTTGTAATTAAATATTTATTGATCAATATTCCAACTCTGTGGCTATTTGGTGCTTTAACTAGTTGTTTTCATCTGGGACTGAGACTCAGAAGACTATGTAAGGTCTAGGCATTGTTAGCTGAAGTTTAGGCAAGTTCCTGTGAGTTCATATCTCTAACCATGCACGTCTACTTTGAAATATTTTGTCACTGATTCTGCTGAAAGAGATATCATCCCTATAATTCACTCTAAGAGGTTTCAAGCTAGAATTATAGAATGGTTTTCATTGGAAGAGACCTTTCAGATCATAAAGTCCAACTGTTAACCCAGCACTGCCAGGTCACCACTAAACCATAACCCTCAGCACCACATCTGCATGTCTTTTAAATCCCCCCACGAATGGTGACTCCACCCCTTCCCTGGGCAGGCTGTTCCAAGGCGTGACAACCCTTTCGGGGAAGAAATTTTCCTCATGTCCAACCTAAACCTCTCCTGGTGCTGCTTGAGGCCATTTCCCCTTGTCCTATTGCTTGTTTCTTGGGAGAGCAGACCGACCTCCCACTATGTCCTTTCAGGGAGCTGTAGAGAATGAGAAGGTCTCCCTTGAACCTCCTTTTCTACAGACTAAACAATCCCATTTCCTTCAGCTGCTCCTCAGAATACTTGTGCTCTAGACTCTTCACCAGCTTTGTTGCCTCAATTCCTGTGAGGATTGCCTGATCATAAAGCTTAGATATTTTTTTCCAGGTGTTCTGTGGCTTGGGAAATGCAGGAGTCAGAATATCATTTAAGATACCTTTTTCTTCTGTTCATCGCTATTTTTCTTCTCATAAGTGTGTGTATGTAAGCAGTGAAAGGGTGAAAATACCTCACAGCTTTGTCCCGTGAGACAGAGGGAGAGGTTACCAGTGATTTCTAGTGTACCTGAGTTGAGAAGCTAGAAGAGAACAGTAGGTTTTCTCTTACAGAAAGGGTTCTTTTGTATGTTTAATTTTGGTATTACAAGTTTTGGTTGTCATATAACCTGACTCAGCATATGGACCTTTGTGGGCTGGTTATATGCTGTCCTCTGTGAATAGAGGTTGCACTGCCTCCTTTGTGTAAGACATCCATTTAAATTGAGAGATTAAAGAAATCTGACAGAAGAGGGAAAGAAAAAATGAGAAGTTATTGTTCTCCCTCTCACTTCCCAGATAGGATATATTTAATGAAATCAACAGTAAAATTTTAAAGGAAGGGTTCAACACTTCATGAGTTCCATTGATTCTTGGCTTACCAATTTTGGGTTTCATTCTTACCAGTTGTCAGTCAGTTTGCACAGCTCTTCATCAGTCATTTCTCAGCCAGGACTAGGTCATTCCCTCTTTGCAACTTTGGGCACAAAGTTAAAAAAAAGAATTATATTCAGACAAACACACTCTACAGGTAACCTAGTGTTTTGATTTGTGTAGAACCAAAGAAGTACAGACACTGATTTCTAGACTTCATAGAAGAGAAACAACCTACAAAGAGCTGGTCAGACACTTAACTTCACTGTGCCTTGGGAAACCTACGTTTTTCTGGAAGATCTGAAATTAAGAGTGTTCTGAAACTGCAGAGCTTTTCTGGCAGTTAGGCATGCTAGTCCTCCATCAATATCCCACAGCTTCTGTGGCTTTCTCTGCATTGAGATGCTTTCAGGCCTGCAAAGGACCACAAGGTTCTGCTTCTTTAACTCCAAGTTCCTTTTCCAAGATTCTTCAGTAGAAGCTGATAGGCCAAGATGTGCCATTTTTTCATACAAGATAAAACACTTTCTTTGAAGATTAGTATTCAAGCAGTAGAAGTTATAAAAGTATTTCCAGTATTTCTGAATTCATTCAATATTCTAATTAAGGGGATTAGATTCTGCAAAGCACAGAGCAGTGAAATTACAGGTAGAAGTGTCTTTGCTTCTTTCTGCTGGTCCAAAAGTGAGTGTAGCTACTAGTATAAATTAGCATAATTAGGGACTATTCTAAAATGCAGCAGCCTCTGAGGTGCTTACTAAGGAATACTTTGAAGTACAAAATAACTAGAGCTCCTTCCCTTCTTCAGCTGGTGTGCATATGGTCCTTTTTCTGCTATATGGTAGAAGCTGGGCATGGAAGAAAATTGTGTGGGGCAAACTGGTGTTTGGGCTAGCACTTTTATGGTTTATGTCACAAGCAGTGCTGAAGAATGAAAACCTGTTCTTTTAATTCCTTTTCTGGTAAGAAAGTAAGTTAAAGGAATAGAATTGCAAGCATTGCCAAGCTTTCCAGTGAGAAGTTCCATGTTTGGTAAGCCATGCCACCTCGTGCCGGCCCACATCGATATACCAGCTGGAACAACATGGCTGTATTATGTGGGACTGTGCCTGGGCTGATAAACTCTGTTTCTTGGCTGTTCTTGAGTTACTCTGCCCTACACTTTCAAATCTGACTGAGTGAAAAGTCATATTGGGGGTGGTGGTGTCTGGGGAGCTGACACGTCCCAAACCCATGGGTTTGTGATTGTGCCGCAGAGCTCTACCTGCACAGATTTGAACAGTATCCCACACATTTAATGACCTGTTTTACATGGACTGAGATCAGCAGCTTAAACTGCAATTCTTGGTGCTGTTCAGGTGCAGTTGCTGAACCTTTTCTCAGGGGAACAGTTTTCTTTCCCTGCTCATCGATGGCTGGCCTGGGACCAGGCTGATGGGGAGATATCTATGGAGCTTCCTGTTTTACATCAGGGTCAGCCGATTCTTCCAGGTAAGCACAGTATCACAAAGGCTGTCAGGCCACAGACTGATGCTGATAGAGGTGAGTTCATTGTATTTCATCAAGCCCTCTCTAACTTTTTAGCTGCTACAACACTTTTTGTGTGTTGTTTTGCTTTGGTTAATGGAGCATGTTCAGGTAAAAGGCTAAGAATCACTGGAAAGGAGATGGGAGAATCACGCTTTGAATTTCACAGGTCCTTCAAAAAAAACCTCCTTTGGTATGATTTTCAGTGTTTGTGTTTGTTTTAAAATAGAAGTAATAGTAAAGACACCTCACATCATGTAACTACCATGAAGCCATCATACATGAGTCAGATCACAAGCTTTTTTCAATAACTGAGGGTTATAGCTCCAATATTACTGTTGTAGCTACTGGTTTAATTTCTTTCTTGTAAGTGACTAAGACAGCTTTCCAGAATACTTTTGATTTCTGAATGTGGAACAAAATTTTCACAGTATTTCAGAAGGCTGTAAATGTTAAAATCTCCATTACTCACTTAAAGGTGGTATTGTAATCTTAAAGGTGAATGATGCCAAAAAATACAAGATTTTTTTTTGGTATTGCTGCTGTTATACTATTTTAATGTCCTGCCCAATCCCTTTCACCCATTCTAGGTGTTACTGCTATATGGTCTCTCAGCTTCAAAAGTAGGAAGGGGGTGGAAAGTCTGTGCTTGCTCTTCCCTTCTCTCCAAAGGGCATTGTTCTTTCTGGCTTAAGGCAAGTACAAGGGCATAGTCAGATCATTATATAGTATGAGAGATGTGGGTGAGAGAGCAAGAATGCTGGCATGGATTCTCATCCCATAGGGTGTGGTGGTAGAAAATGAAAAGCCATAACACCACCAGTATTATTTTTGCTGGAGCTTTCACTAGAGTAAGACCCACCTGGGACAGATTCCACACTCTCCTGTTTTCCCTTCCACCAAAAACTCGTATCAACTACAGAGAACAAGATGAATGGGATGAGAGAAACTTCCATTCAAAGTTCTCCAAAAAAGTATGGAACTTTTTTTCACAATGACCTGTACTATAACAACTCTTGATGGTATTCTAGTGTTACTTAGTGTTGGTCTTGGAAAACTGAAATGCTAACAGGCATTTCAGTGGTAACAGCTGTTATGGGTGCAGGCTAGAGGAAGAGGATACAAATGAAATTGAGAGGCAGAAGTCCAGAAAATGGCCCATGGATGTGGGGAAACCTGCCATGGGACAGTAATTCTCATAATAAAGAGCTGGGTGACCCAGAGTTGTTTATGCCTATCTGTGACAACTAAGGACTGAGTTTAAGAGCCTGAAGGAAGAGCAGAGTAACAAGTTTCTGCCTTATTAATACATCTTTAAAAGAAAAAGACTAACAGGAGAGTTTTCTTGCACTGACGTAGTTACCAGCTGTCAACTGCTCATAAAATGCTGTAGAGAGAGGCTGGCCAGCCCTACCCACAATGATTTTTGATCTTGAGTGGTTATGATCTTCACACCCTTGAGGGGTGAAAAGCCTCAGAGACAATCAGCCTGTGTCCTCATAGCTTTGGTCTCTTAGGTCAGGAGACTTTAGTATTATTAATGTAAATGAACATATAAGCACACTGGTATAAAAAAACAAATACACACGTGCCCCCTTTAAATAAACGCTAATTCATGATCATTAACATATTATATTAGATATGCTCCAGGCCCTACTTGCAGTATCTGTTCTTCCTCAAATGTTCTTTTGCTTAATATTCTGTGACACTGACCTAACTCACCTTCTAATTTTCGGGCTCTTCTTTCTGAGTAGGTTGTTTCCTTGTTTCTGAGATAAAGAGAAAATGAAAGATTTTTATTATGAAGTAATCTTGGTGCATCGTAAAGCACAGCAGCACACTTAAATCATCCTCTTGATTTGCATTTTGTACTTAATTTCTCCCTCATGCAAGAGAGGAAAAAAAGAACTTCTGTGCATTTCTGCCATCCTCAGTATAAGAAGGATCATGCTGAAGGCTTTGGAGAAAGCAGTTTCATCTCTAACTGAGTAATTGAAAGAGGCCTCTGTGTCTTTTTGCCAATTTCTGCATGAGATAGTGAAAGGAGAACATAGCTTTTAACTTCAGAGGAGATAGTTTGATAACAGAACAGTGAAGAGGTCTGGATTCTATCTGAAAGAAAGATGATGAGAGGCACTTTAAAACCAATTTCTGAATAAAAAGAAGCTGAAATACTTTCTGATTTAACAGCTTTTTTTTTTTTTATTCAAAGGAAAACCATATGAATTATACTGTTAAGAAGTATTACATAGAGACTTTGTGGCTTTAGTGCTGAGGTACTGAGCACCACTCGTTTTACTTTTTATCATCAACCATCCTACTTTTGTCCCCTTCTGCTGATGTTTTATGACACAAACCTTTAATTATATGATGATGAACTACTTTCTGGGGATAAATCAGGATTGCAGTGTTTGGTGGCTGGTGGACCTTTATTTTTCTTCTTGCCGAAACTAGGAAGTAGATACTTAATGAAGGAGAGAATTGTAAGAATAAAGAGGATTGTTATGGTCTTAGATGCAGGATTTTTGGTCTGGAGAAGTTAATTCTCTGCCTCTGCCATGGTCTGTTCATGAGGTATCTATGCATGAAGGATGCTGTAAATAAAAGTGTGGGGAAGTAACTAGATGAAGTGGTGGCATTGTAAATGATGCAAGTAAAACACATTACTAATTAACAGTTCTTAAATGAAAACTATACTTTAGTGGAATTTAGAGGTACCCAGGTCATAATCTTAAAATGAGTTAGCTCTGGTACTAGAAGCAAACTAGCACTAACATTCGGTGTGGTCATAGTAAAATAATTTGTTCTGGTTTCTCTGAGACAGAATCTCAGGCCAGCCACGGTCTGCAGACCATTAGCAGTTCCCAGTCAGCCAGGAGCTTAAGCTGGGAAAGGCAAAATTCAGGGCAGGTGACCAAGTCGGCTACAGGTGTACCCCAGACAACAAAAGTCACATTCAGTATAAAGGGGGAAGTTTGCTGAGGTTGGGGGTTCTTCCTCATCCTACTACTTCTCTTCATTCTGCTTCTGCTTCTCTCAGTCCCTGGAGGGGCTTGCTTATAACCCTGCTCCTGAGGACTGCCTTCCTGTTAGGTGTGACCACCATGTATTCATTGGGCTGAGTATGACTTGGTATGTTTTATATTTTCATTATTAGTAGTTTTGTTGTTTAAGGAAATCTGTTTTCACTTTAATCCATGGATCTCCTCTCCTTTTCCTGGTTCCCATTCCTGACTGGGGTGGAGTCATTAAGGGACAGAACAACTGCTATAGTTTAGCCTTGATATGGGCTAATTGTAGACAAAGCTGTGCAAAGTGCTTACTGCTTTAGCTAGATTACTACCATTATCCAAACTGCATTCCTTAAAGACAGCTTGTATAGTAACCTGTACACAAATGTCATTAAACATACATGAGGTAATAATAATAATAATAATAAAAAATAAGCATTAAGGGAAAGTTATAAACACTGAATAACCACTTAACACAATTGCATATGCAGATGGATCATGAAAAAATTTTCACTGGTTCCTAGAAGAAGGTACTTGTCCATCAGGAGAGTGAGATATGGAAATAATATCCCTCAGAGGATTACAATCAAGCTTCGTAACCTATTTCAAGGGGAAACTGATAAATGAATGATGACAATGTTGATGCTCTAGACACAGTGTATCCAGAAACTTTATTTGTCAGACAAAGCACAAGGACAGATAGATCTGGAAGAAGAGATTGTGTGTCAGAAAATGTGGTTTTTCTCTCTCTCTTTCATTCTATCTGTACCTTGTTTGGTCTAAAAAAAATATTGCTATTGCACATTGGTGTAAACTTTGCCTTTCTCATGTTTCTACTGAGGATTATAATTCATGTTTTTATTTTCCTTCTGAATTTTATGAGTTTACTAAATATACATTTGAAGGACTACAGCTTTCTATTGTTATATAATTTTAAGTATCATGGTCTTTATTCCAATTTCTTTGGAGTGTGACTCAAATTTAATTTGCTTTATCTATTTTTGTTACATAACCGATTTATTGAATTTAAGTCTAGGTTTTTCCTCTCAAATTTACAGCCTTTCAAGAATTTCTATATGGAAATAGAGGAAGTCTGTATTATCCTATTGCATGAATCAGTAACAACGCAGTTTTCTGAGTTCTGAGGTCTTGGAAAACTAAAACTCTGGTGCTAGATTTTTGCTTGTTTGGTTTACCAGTGCATTCAAAACATTAACAGCTCCTGTTGCTTGTTACAGCTTTGATCCCACCAGTTTTGGTGAGGCTAATCTTGGTTTTATATCATTTACTTATCAATTTTATGATGATTTCTAATGATGCTGCAGGACAAAAACATGCTATTGTGCATTTAAAAGACATGTTATTGTGCATTTAAAGTTCCATTCTGTTTGCATTCCCTGTAGTGAAAGTCTGGGATAAGAAGCATTAGTGAAAGACCGAAGCAAGTTTCTACATTATTTTACTCTAATATTGAATAGGATATTTAATGTTTTATAATTTAACTGTCCTTGACAGAGATGTATTTTGACTCTACTGGCACATTCAGAGCTAGATGATATTGTAACTATGATAGTGTTTGTGATATGAAAGGTTGTCATCTTTTATTGTCAGTGACTGTCTATGAAGTGCATGTGACAACAGGAGAACTGTGGAATGCTGGAACTGAGGCTGATGTCTATATTTCTGTCTATGGAGAAAGAGGTGATACAGGATCAAGACAGCTGCTCAGGTCACAGAAGCTCAAGAAATTTTTAAAAGGACAAGTAAGTGAAAGACGAGGTGTTTTCTCTCTCTCGGGTGAGTGGTTATCCCAGGCAAGGTGCAATTAGAAATGAGATAATTATTATGTTCCAATGCTTTATCAAAATTCCATAATTAAGCCAAAAATACTTTTTAAAGGTATTTTTTGGAAGAGAGCATTTTCATATATAAAATAGCTAAACTGTGTATTTTTTGTTTTAATTATTCTAAAATTTTTATTTAATAAGTGAAAAGAAAATGAAACATTATAGCTGCATTTCTAATATTGAAATCTGCTTTAATATGTAATTTTTTAGCCAATTAAGCTTTCAGCACTCTTCCCTTTTCTGATTCTGATTACATTCATTAGAATGGATCTACTCCCATTAGGAAAGTGTTCAGGCTTACTTCTTTTATTTTAGAAAACCTTTTCTTCTTAGTTTGTTCTCACATTGTCATTAGCTGGTACTTCAAAGAATGATCTTGACAGAAGAGTTCTATAGGTTTATGGGTCTTTGGGATTCCACAGCTGCAGAATGTTCTGTGTTTTAGATTTTACTGAAATGATGATTGATTACAGACTGACATCTTTGCTGTTGAAGCTGTGCACCTTGGACATTTGTACAAGACTGTTATAGGACACAATGGTCTTGGATCAGGTTAGAAATATCTCTCTATAATTACTGAATACTGCCTGCAATGTTATTAACCTTTTATTTGACATACGATATGCATTTCTAAAATTGAACACATGAAAACATTTTGGAAGTAAAAAAATACAAAGGCTTCTAGGGAAACTGTTCAAGTGACACAGTTACATTTTTGTATCATCACAAATTTCAAGTATTTTGTGTTTGCTTTTACAATACTCTCAACCATTATGTTAAGGACACCATCTGCTACTGTTCTGTCATGTTTGACTAATCCCTACAGAAAAATTGAAGAGTTGTCTGTATGAAAGGACATTGTGCCATGTGCACTCTGTGTTATAGATAAAATGGCCTATTAATGGATAACGCTAATCAACCTAAAATTATACATTGTGAAGATAACAGCTGGAGACTTTGGCTACACTGTCTTGTCATTAGACACCCAATCAATGGTGAAACTCAAATGGCTTGTAGTCACAAGACCTGCTTTTCAAATTCTTGAGCCTTAATACTATAAAACATAGCAACTTGTTTAGAGCCATGGTAAGAAGATATCTGATCTTGCTGATATTTTAATAGGCAAAACAATTAAGTCTCATACAATGAGAGTGTTAAATGAGGGGGAAGTGTGCAGCACTCAGGGCCATGACATCCAGAGAGGGACCAAGCAGACTGCAGGCCAATAAGCAAGTTCTACAGTACCTAGAGCAGATACTGTCTCCTCTCCAACCATTGGGGCAGCCATGACTCTAGCAACTTGCCAGTGGAGTAGCAAATCTTGCAGTTCCAGTGGAAGAGAGAAAGCCATAGCAAGTTGGAGTTCATAAAATCTGCCTCTCATGAACTAACTTTTAAAAAATTTATTCTAAGGAAATGGCTGGTTTCTGGACAAAGTCGTAATCAAGGATCCTGTTACAGATTTGGATTATACTTTTCTTTGTTACAGGTTGGTGGTGTTTCATTTGGGCTAGATTTTTAAAAAATTTGTAATTGCTCATGGTTTTCTTATGGAATATCCTGTCAAGAGAAATATAAATTTCCTATGAGGTGAACTGGGATGATCTGAATATCTTCACAGCTCTCGTTGTACCTGCCCCAAATCTTGGGTGCATTTGAGCTAATGAAAAAGTGATAAAAAGTTCTGCCTGGGAACTTTCTGTTCTTGTGCCTTGCAAGCTATTCAAGATGTACTTTTTGTCACACTCCCCATATCTAGCACCTGGGATCTCACACCAGCAGGTCCATCCATTTTTCCATGTCATGCAATGCAAGGCTTGTCAGAAGAGTAGCTTTCTGTCTCTCTAGCAGGCTGATCCTACTGTACACAAGTTAGTATGGAGATTAACTTGTGGTTCATTGACCTCAAGATCAGACTTTAAGAGCTATCTGACCACATCTTTTTTTTTTTTTTTTTCTCTCCTCGTTTGCCTTGCATCCTGTCACTAAGCTGCAACAGAATTTCAGGCAATCTGAACCTCCTTGCCTTTTCTGCTCTGAATCTTCTGTTCTATAGCTCAATTCTAATTTTATCTATGCCTGATTAATTCTCAACATCTTATGGAAAAATTATATCTGATAAAGATCACTGCAAATGTTAGGAATGGTAAAGTCCAGTCACGTATGAATCTAGCTGCAGCTTGCCAGTGGCAGCTCAATTCTATTTCCCCCTCTCACTTCTCTAAGTGAATAAATAACTGCCCGAGACAGCTTGTAGTGAGCGATGTACACACTGAAAGTGATTTATGTGTGAGTAAGGGCTTTCTGCCTATCAGATACAGCACCTCATCTTTGCCTGACCTAATTTTGATTCTGTATTCTAGATGAGATGAACTGCTATGAAGAGATCTATAATACTAGCTTCATACATAATTTAGGGAGAGTTCAAATCCATTTCAGGCAGAAAAAAATACAGGCTATGTGCTAGTTATTGTTACAGCCCCATGCTGTGCTTGCTTATCTTGCTCCCACAATGTGTGAATCCTTTTGACTCAAATGGAGTTAGACTTAAGTAGATGTGAAGCAGGTACAATGGCATTGTAAAAACATGGTTCAGACAGGGTATAATTGTTGCCTGTGCTGGATTTACGTCCCTGTATAAGCATTCTCAGGGCATGGAACGATTTATATCCTGCTGTAGCCTTCTTGCAGACAGGAAGAACAAACGTGAGCACTGCACCTTTCAATATTGATCTGGAATCAATACAAGTTCTCAGATTTGTAATAATTGGCCCTTGTACCTCAGTCCAGGAAAGTATTTATAAGCTTCATCAAGAACAAGCATGCAAAATAGTTTTTGCCAAAGTCAATCTCTTCTCACTAAAGCTGGCTGTTTGTCAGCCTTAAGGCTTTAATGAATAGAACAGGAAGAATTATCAGTATGCAAGTGCCATGTATATGGTATTGTGTGAGTTGCCAGTCAAGGGTATATTACTGAAATGGCTTCTGATTTTTAGGTGGTTGGACCAGGGGCAGGATGATGGCAATATTGCTAGAGAACTGACTGTGACAGATGCCAGCATTTTTCCAGGAAGTAAGTCAAAATTTGCGAGGAAAACTGAGCTACACAACTGTGTCAAATGGAGTGAGGATGCTCTGTAAACTAATTACATGGTTTTTATCTGTACAGGGCAAGAGCTGGAACTCAAGAGAAAGGAAACTGTAAGAACATACCTTTTTATTTAAACCATTCAAATGCTTTGAGAGAAAACAAGTTGATTGTTCTCATGTTTGTCGAATTTCTGTATATGATCTTATCACAAACCTTTTCTGTTTGTTGTTTACCAAACTAGTGGGCTGCTGAAAAGTGGAAATTTCAGGAGGGCAATACACTTCAGTTTTACAACAAGCTCACCCGTGGCTTCATTTGCCTCAGTCCAGATAACACGGTTGATGCTTGCGGTGACAAGAAAAACAAATATGGTAAAGTATTTTTCATGTGGATGTAGGCATAAAAGATAGGAGAAAGGAGGACTTTATAATTCCGTGTATTTTCATATAGTGATTCCTGTAATGAATAGCAGCAGAAAATTATAATAAACCCTTTCCTTACTTAAAATATTTACATGTCAGTTATAAGAACTCAGAAATTGCGTGCTTGGTTTACATGTAAAGCACAAGACAATCTTGTGTGGTTTCTTCTCACTGGCTTTTGCTTCCTAAATAGAAACTCCTTGTCATCTGCAGTTTAAAGCTCCCATGGAACTGCCATGACAAGGACAGCTAGTCTTTTGTAGCTAGATCCATGTAAGTTAACAAGTTCAAACTTCCAGGTATAGTTCATTAATGGGGGGGGGGGTGTGTATGCGTATATATGTATAATCCATTTTGTTCCATCCTTGCCATTGACCTAATGGCACTCTTCCAGTTCCTCCTCCTCATCAGCTTCCACCCTACTGTGCTACTTCTCTATGACACATATCATATTAGGGATACGTATTTTTGTTATCTTTGTAGTGATGGAGCTGCACAGACCTTCTGACATCTCACAGGGACCTTACGCACATCTTCTTTGAAGCGGTAGAACAGAATCTTTCAGGACAGCCCAAAGAGTGCATGGAGGGCAGTGCAATCAACACTCCTTAGCATGGCCTACAAAGGCACCTTAGAAAAGCTACACCAGGAAACTTAAATGGATAATATGGAAGATCAGTAACATTACATTGGAATCTCTTTTACCAAAGCTGCTTTTATTAGTTAAGTCCTTGAGTTCAAAGTATTTCACTCAAAACCACTGATTGACTCAAATCTTCTATTTACTGCTTTAGGATTTGTGAGTGTCCTAAATGGCTGAAAGCAATTACACAGCATAGTAGTGTCCTTCCTCCAAGGAGATCCATTTAGGATCACAAAGTGTGAATTACTTGGTGACAGACCAGACTACCTGCTTGTAGGAATTTGGTCTCTAATCTGCACTGCTGCAGTAAGCACATATTTGCTGCTTTTTAATGCTCTATCTTCAGTTGATGGATTGTGTCTCATTTGATTTAGATAGATCACTTAGACACAGCAGAGTTCATAACATTCTAACATGCAGAATTCAAGTTCATACTGCAGGCTCTTCCCAATTTCCATCTAGATGCACTTTCCTTTCTATAAACTAGTGCATTTCTAGTGCTATTTTTTACTACAAAAATGTGACTTTTTTTTTGCATTCTGTAGCTTTTTGGTATATATTTTCATGCTAGATGTAAAATTCATATGAGTGTTATCTTGTAAATTTTAAATCAATTATGTGCAAGTTATAAAGAGCAAATTGCGCAAGTGCCGGATAATCAGTAATTGAAGATTATAAATAAAATTAAGTATATTAGAAACCAAGATCAAACCAAAATTGGTATAAACTGGTTGCTAATCAATTTAGATTTGAAGTCAGAAAAATGAGTAGTGTTATCTGCAACCTCCAAAGAGTTTTGTAATACTGAAGAATTAAACAGGTAATCAGGAAGAGCTTGATTTTTCCCTGAACAATATGATGAATCTTTCCTGATATCAGGGAAATGGTCAGTGACACAGGAATAACAATCTAGGTTTTTTTTTTTTAATAGTTCAGGAAAACACAAGCATGAAATTAATGCAGACACCTATTGTGCAACTCTTCTGCCTTCAGAACAATATCTTTCTCCCTTAACTTCTTTCAGATGTTTGTTTTATTTCTGGGTAATTGTTTACAAAACATCTAGAATAGTCATGTGCAACAGAAGCCTACAAATGCTGACTTGGGAACTGCTACTTAAATTTTCATTTAGGGGCAATGCTTCCTTGGGTGTACTTTGGAATAAAGCCCTCTGGCATAAATCATCTACCTATCTTCCCTAATAGAAAACTCTGCATTTCAGATACTGGAAAAACTGTTTATTTGTTTCAAGCAGATCTAAAACAATAGAATTTAAAAGCCTTCAAAGTGGTGATAGAAAGTTATATCAGCTGATGATTTGGTCTAGGGTTTTTTAATTTCTCAGGAAGCTTTATCTCTATCTGAAAGCAGGGAAGCAGTTACATGTCCTTCCTACCTTGCCCCAAGGACTAGAAGCCCCATCTGCATTTTATGGTTTGTGACATCATCCCGATGGGTGCAATGATCCTTGACTGTGTCATTCTTGTGGTCCCAGTGACATCTTGAAAATCTTACCTATGAACACTACAGGACTCCTCCAGAGACAGCTGCATCTTGCTAATGGGCAACACAATATACTGGTAGAACAGTTGGTTAAAAAAATCAGCTGTTGCTACTGGGAACAATAGAAATGGCACACTGTAGCTTTCATCAGTATTTTGTAGCTGTAGGAGGTAATTGTTCGGAAAATTGGCCATATTTAAAATTTTAGAAGCCATGAGCTATGCTGCAAGATTTGTTTTACAAATTCTAATACAGACTCAGAGAAAATGAATCCTCTTTTCCTACCTGAGAGCTTTATGTTCCTTAAATGATCTGTTATTTATCATATTGCTATAGCCCAGTTCATTATGCTGGAGTCCTCAGTTCTTATTTATGGATTTATTTTTTTTTAAACATACACGTTGATCAAAAGAAATTTGTTCCTTATCATTAGCTCCCAGGGTTTTTCCTGCTCAAAGCAGTGAAGTAGACAGTAGTGTTTAGATGTCCTTTCCTGAAGGAATGAGTGGTTTCATTGATTAGAGAGGTCAAACTGAGTTATACACTTGATTCATTCTTTTCCCTTGAAAATGATAAATCATCAATTGTAATTAAATGCAAATATCAATTAATATACTTTCATATTCCTAACATTTTCCTCATTTAACTCTTAGGTCTTTTTGATGTAAATGTCAAAGGGAGAAATATATGTATCTTCAGCAGTCATGAGATGCCATGTCTTGCTCTTGCTCTTGTTAATGGCCATGTAATTGGAAAGGTAGGAAGTGCTGTTACTGATTTCTGCTTCATAATTACATTTCATTGTCTGATTAAAAGTAATGCTGTGTTTAATCTATTTTATAACTGTGCTTCCAGTCAAATAAAGAACTAAGAACTGCAGAACTGAACCCAGGAAATTGCCAATGAATAGGCAAATTTAGATGTAGGGCTTTGTCTGTTTTCTCACAGTTGACTTTTTACTCTTTGGTAGGATTTTTTTCACAGACTGAATAATTTGGTGCAGGAACATAAGGCCATTCCAAACTGCAATTTACATTAGCTTGCTACATATTAGCAAGGTACCTGGAATATCCTGGTATCATCTTGACACGACTAAGAGATGGGATGCCATCCAAAGAGACCTGGACAAACTCAAGAAGTGGACCAATGTGAACCTCATGAGGTTCAAGAAGGCCAAATACAAGGTCCTGTACCTGGGCTGGGGCAACCACTGGTATCAATGCAGGCTGGGGGAATGAAGGGGTTGAGAGCAGCGCTGTGGAGAATGAATTTGGTTTAAAAGCTGGACATGAACCAGCAATGTGAACTTGCAGTCCAGAAAATTAACTGTATCCTGGGGTGCATCACAAGAAGAGTGGCCAGCAGGTCAAGGGGAATGAATACTGCCCCTTTATTCTGCTCTGGAGAACTCCTCGCCTGGAGTCCTGTGTCCAGCTCTGGAGTCCTCAGCCCAGGAAAGACAGACCTGTTAGAGCAGATCCAGAGCAGAACCATGAAGATGATCAGGAGCCTGGAGCACGTCTCCTATGAAGAAGGGCTGAGAGAGTTGGTGGTGTTCAGCCTGGAGAGGAGAAGGCTCTGAGAAGACCTTATAGCATCCTTCCAATACCCAAAAGGGGCCTACAAGAAAGATGGGGAGGGACTCTTTATCAGGGAGTGTAGTGACAGGACAAGGAGTAACAGTATTAAACTGAAAGTAGGTAGATTTAGATAAGCTATTAGGAAGAAATTCTTGACTGTGAGTGTGGTGAGACACTGGGGCAAGTTGCCCAGAGAGGTGGTAGATGCCCCATCCCTGGAAGCGTTCAAGGTCAGGTTGGATGGGGCTCTGAGTAACATGATCTAATTGAAGATGTCCCTGCTCACTGTGGGGTCCTGGGCTTGATAAACTTTAAAGATCTCTTCCAGCCCCCCAAATTCTATGATTTTATGATTTCCTCTTTTTGGATGAGTATAAACTCTAAGGATTGATTTTGAATGCTCATTTTCCCTTGTCTTTTTCTAAGCAACATGCCTGTTATATGTTGAAATAATCTAGATTTGTTTTGATTTATTTGGGTTTCTTCAAAGTCTTGCTGTTGCCTTTCTCAGCACTTGCAATATACAAGTAGGCAAATAGAGTTATCAGTGAGTTATTTCTGATGAAACTTTTTCTACTGACAAGGGAAGAAGCTGTTTCCCTTTCAGTTCTTCCAGTTCTTCCCCTTACTTATCCAGTGAATGATTTCATAGTCAAAGCTGGTCCCATTCTGCTTTTATTTTTATTTACTCTTTGGTAGGATTTTTTATTGGCATTAGTGGGAGTAGAATACTCTCAGCAGAGTTAGATTTCTCAATGGGGACACTGTCAGGCTGCTAGGCAAACTGTCAGACCTCCCTGGAGGACTTCTTAGAGTTCATGTTCATTAGTGTAATTCTAATACAGAGAATCCCTTGCAGTCTGTCCCATTGCAGCATATCTTGCTACAGGGAGGTTATTAACTGGCTACTTAAATTTGAACTTTCTCTTTTCTACATGCTTTATGACTTTGAGCAACCTAGAAAATCTGGATCTCAGTGTTCTTAGTTTTACTTGTGCAAGATGTTCCTTTTCCCAGAGAATGTGGAAAAAATGCTGTGATTTAAAACTTTTGGAGGTCCTTGAAAGGAAGATGGATAAATGTTAAACAAAATGACAATATATAAATTGTAACTGACCTTATGATGCAGACTTTATACTTTGAGGACATGTCACCTCCCTTGTTTCACAACCACTTCTAAAATCCATATTTTATTTTTTTTTTTACTTTTAGAATGATATTGAATCTGACAGGTGGTTTTGAGTGTGAAGCTTTTTCTTCAGAAGGTAGTGCCATGGAAATGAAAATCTTTCACTAGAAATATTGATTCTTTGAAGCCTAAAAACTGCAGAAAAGATATTAGAGGATGTATGCCAGAAGATTTTTAAATTATTGGGCTGATTATTAGCATTTTACATTTATTAAAAACCTATGAATAAACATGAGAATTATTAAGTTGATAAAATATTTAAATATTTATTTTGTATGTTGTGCCTTTTATACAATGGGGTCACACAGTCTGCAAACCTGAACAGGCAAGCATGGATAGTGTGTTGCTGTATTCTTTCATGTAAAACTTCTGACTCTTTAAGTGTTTTCTGTGAGAACAGTGTAAGTAAATGAAGGAAAAACACTGAGGCAAATGAAGAAGGGCTGGTGGCAGAGAGTTCCTGTTCTTCATTTCCTACATTGATTTTATATTCCAACCTCCCTTGCCATGTTCGTAGGCTGAGACTGTAACTCTGATTGAGGCACCCAGGTATCTTTGTGTTATCCTCGGATCTGTGTCATCTTAAGATAAACTGTTTCTGTGCTGTGAAATTCCACAGTCCAAAATTTAAGGACTTTGGTATCAGGACTGCAAATCTGAAAAATATAAAGACATTCTCATGTTAGGTTGGCAACATTGTGGAAAACTGAACAATAAAAAAAAAACCAAACCAGTATTGTGATACTCTCTGTCCTGGATTTTGACATATCTAGTAGTTCATAGAATTTATTATTTCTGCTTGGAATTTGTTAGAGCAAAGACAAGACTTGCTGTGAGCTCTGCATTCACCTTCAACCAAATGGTTGTGCCATTCTTGAGTCAGCCAGGAATCCAGGTCACACTGTTATGTTCAATCTTCAAGGCAAAGTAGCTGATGAAACGACGGGATATGCTGGACTTTCCAAAGAATTTGTTGTGCATGTCAAGGTAAGGTGGGCAGAGGGAAATGAAGAAGACTCCTAAAATTTGCTGTTCTAAAGTAGATTGTATCTAGTGAAATGTCAGAAGATTGCAAGCTAAAAGCGGGATCTTCTTCCACCAGGTGGAGCTAAACTCCAGTTTAACAGGTAGGCACCACTGGAGAAGTTTTCCTTGCGTGCTCTGTGGTGAGCAATGTCCATGCCGCAAGTAGGGTGGGCTGTAAACAGCGAGGATGCGTCTCTGAGCTTTTTAGTAAACCTCTGAAAGCTAGGAGGGTAGATACACGCAAGAGATCTCCGTGGGAATTGAGTGAATTTGAAAAGAGAACATATTCCTTAACTTGCCATGTTCCTCATGCTCTGGATGTTGTGCTGCTCTGCTGGATAATAAAAAGCAGGGAAGCTGTGAACTAGGGAAGGATTTGTACTATCCAGGTTGGTGTCTGAACAGAAAACAGCAAATACTGAAAATATTCAAAGGCTGGAAATATACTGGAATTACTTGGGATTTAATCCATTTCCGTGTATATAATGCAAATGAATAACATTAATTAGTGCTTAAAATAAATCAGCGTGAAGAATATAAATGTCAAAGTTTAGTATGGAGAAAAGCTGTGCTATTCACAAAGGACTTCTGCCTCTGCTCCGAAGGGTGTGTTTCACCACGGTGCCACCATTCTGCTCAACACGAGTCTCTGCCAGGCTCTGTCCCTCAGACCTGACGGGAGCTGCAGTGGAGCGGGTCGGCAGCAGCAGGGATCCTACTGGTCAGGAATCCTACTGGAAGGTGCATAAAATCGCCTCTGGAGTCTGCATGTTTGAAAGTGTGAGAAACCCAAGAATGTATCTGAAGATCAAAGATGACCAGTGTAATGGAACAGTAAGCAGTTCTTGTTTGTATATCCCTCTGCAGAGAGTTAAATTGTCAGTGAGAGCAGAGAGTATTTTTTACTTACTTGGATGAAACTGAGATAAAACATTGAATTTAATTTTTTTTTCAGATCTTTCCCATCATTTGTCCAAGGGAAGATATAAAAATACAGCAAGAGAAGCTGTTGTATCTATTTGACACCGGGTTGTAAATATCTGATTAAATTTTTAAACTATTGAGAATGTGGATGTAGTTAAAATTTATTTGTTGCTAGAGAGCTGATGACTCTGTCAAGATTCTGTTGTACTAATTACATTTTCATTAAACCACCACAATTATACTCATGTGAGTTTGGAAGATGTGGAAGTGTTGTTGGCATTCTAGATTTTTACAATTTATTCTATTTTGACTAAAAAGAAGAACCGGATTATTTTATTTTTCCTTCCTTATGCAACCACGTAGAGTTAATTCCTGAAATATCTAATCAGTAGCCTGTTTATTTAGTAATAAAACTAAGCTTGGGAGATGGTTGTGCCTTTAGGGGGATGGTTGTGATTTTTGTGCCTATATCATTCTCCACCTTCTAGGAGTTTAACTATTGCAGATTTACATTTGATAGCGAAAAAGAGAACAAGACATTGGTATTTGCTCATTAGACTTAACATTTACTAATCCTATGTCTGTTTGTTGATGTGAACTGATGTAATTGTTTTGGATGTGGCAGAACACAAACATATTCAGGGGTTTAAAGTGGTATCCTCTAAACAAATTGATGATAAAAACCACTAATGAATAATTAAGATGTAAGATGATGAAGGGGGAAACTCCTTTGAATATATCCAAGATTTTGCCTACATCCTAAAAGAATTTGGAATGATTTCATATGTGATCTTTCACTAACTCAAGTTATATGATAGGCCTTTCTGTTCACCAGGGAATGAGCAAGGCCAAGATATGTATATGTGTGTATGTGCAATACTATAGGAGATTGTGAAGAACCTAAATTTAATCTGAAATGTTATTAGAAGTTAGCAATATTTAAGTCTTAAGAAACATCCAACTTGCCTAGCTACATCAACTCAATTGTTGAATCCACATTTCTGTTTTCCATTTCCTAGGGCACAGGTGATGAATACTGTCACTTTAAAATTGAGAAGAATTTGGAAACTGGATCTGTAAGTCTAGAATCAGTGCAAAATGAAGGCATATATGTTGGTCTCCTGCCAGATGGCCAGACTAAGCCTGTCACTAACACTGGAGAGAGAAACATTTTTTTCTACCCGCAGGTCATAAAATGTATGTAACTTCTTATTTTTCTACAGTTTGCTCTAGTAATTGATGTTTCTTAATGACAAATTCAAAACAAAAGTGCAAAAGCTAGATTTACACCATTTCTTTTGTTGTGATCCAGTACCTTTAAAGGTGCAAAGTTTGTGCCCACAATTTATTTCTTTTTAACTAGCTATATAAGAGGAATTAATGAAGAAAAACTGTAGCAATAAATGATGCAGAAGAGATCCTGTTTGTTTTGTTTTGTTTGGTTTTTTTTTTTTTTTCTGAAGAAATACACTTCTGAACATAATAATAAAAGCAAGTGACAAGTTAGAGATAGGGTTGACTTTCTGGGTCTATTCTTCATTCTGGCCACTGATTACGGAAGCCTGGGAGATGTCTTGCTGTCAGGTTACATCACAATCTTTCCTGATTTTATAGGGAAAGTAGCAGATTTTAAAGAGGGCCCTCTTGGCAGCATTCAGTTTCTTTTTCAGTGATGCAAAATACATTGTACTTCCCCCTCTAGTATATTGATTATGTGATTCTTCTGTCCCATAGTCAGATTTGAGAGCTATTGCAGTCAGAAAGTTTCCTCACTAGGGACCTGACCTGCTCTAGTCAAGTAGGCAGGACCCAGAAAATAATTCTCAGCACACTCTGGATCACTGTCACTAAATTGTCATCTTGTCTATTCTCTTTTGAGAGAACGAAGTTTTTAATTGGTTGATGATTTGGTTACCAAACACAGCCAGCTGACTTGGATTATAATTGCAGAAAACAGGGGAATTATGGTACTTGTATTCTTTTCTGGGGATCATAGTCACAGAGATCAAGAAACAAGACATCTCATGATAATGTTAAACTGGCCACCAGTTCAAAATTGATAATTTGGTCAGATTTTTTGCCAGACATAGGCAGAACAGGGTCATCTTGAACCAGCAAAGGGAAAGTATCAAGGCATACAACCAGTCTCATTATTAACTGTTCTTTGTATACTGTGGCTTAGACATACAGAAGCATTATGAAAGTCACAGTAATGGTATCCCCACCATTCAGTCCCTTCTTGACAAGAATATTTCAGTCACTGTGTCCTTGTAGAAAGAACGAAAGTATTTTCTTTTGTTATTTTTTGGAAGAGTACGATTTTCAGTGGAAATTCTCAACAAAGCAGGACTTACTGATGCCATTAAAATAAAGCTAAATGTTACTTTGTTACAGGCTTGAGCTCTCTAGAATCCCAGGTAAAAGGAAGATGAAAGGAGTTAATTTTTTCTATGAAAGTAAACAAGATTGTCTGTTTGCCACTTTGTATTACCAGAAATGGCCTCTAGCAGTTTTCATTTCAGCATTCCCACTCTTAAGAGGGGAAACATCGGGGAGTGGAGAAGCTTATCTTGGGGAGAATGACATTTTAACAAGTCGTTTTATTCATACATCAATGTTAAATTGTTACTTAGATTTTCAAAGCAGTAAATAGGCTTTTATTGGTATGCCAGATTTTTTGCACTTTTTGTGGCATGCTGCTAACAACAAAAGCTGTAATAGCTAGTCCTGTAATACATAGAGAAAAGATTTTGGTGTCTGCGTGTGTTGAAGAGTTGTGAGGTCTGTTATTAGCGTTTGTCACTGAACATATGGGAAGTTTCTGAGCAACAAAACCCAAATTATTGGTAGCTAGCTAGAATTTACATTTAATTGTTTTAGTTGGCCGAGAAGAGCCTATGGGAACATCTGCATCACCCAGTCGAGAGAAGAAAGACTTTAGAGAACCACAGCTCCAACCAGCAAAAGCCCAGAAGCCAGTATCTCAAAACCTTTCAAGTTTTCCTCACTCAGGTAAGGAAAAGTTTACAGACTAGTTGTTATATGCTGTGTTATGTCTGCCTTCCATGCTCATTTGCAGTGACTTATCTCAGGAAGGACAATTAATAGCTTTTCTGGGCTACTGACTTATGCAAACATACATGCCACACAAACCATTGTGTTTTGTGTTTTAAAAGGGTATTGGAATGTGGTTTATGGATAAGGTGACAATCAGCTTGTAGCTGTTGAATAATTTCACATTATCTTTTTTTGAAGTAACTAGCCATTTATTGTAAGGACTATTTCTGTGGAAATTAAGAGATTGAGCCCAACCCAGAGCTCATTGAAAGCAATGAAATATTTCTTGTTTATGCTCTCTTATTTATGTTTTCTGCTTTATGTTTCACTGGGGGAAAGGGTAAGGTTTTGGTGCACTGAATGCTACCTTTCTACTTATGTTTAGGCAGGTAGGAACAGAAAAAATGTGTTCTCATGTTCTGGAGTGAATAGTCTACCAGGTGTGTTTTACTAGAAAAAACAAACACTTTCTCTTTTAGCTACAGAATTTGCATAAATGATCTAAGACAATGATTTCTCCAACTCAAATTTTACAAGAATATTCATCATCCTGGTAAACAAAGAAGATGTGACTAAGGAACTAAAGAAAACTGCAAATAATACATCTCCTAAGGAGTGGAGATGATCATGTTTGCTTCCCTACCTCTCTTTTATTTCAGTGTATCCAAGGACCCCGTCTGCACAGCCTGAATTGTCACATCCCCTTGAAAAGCAGATGGGATAAATAGAAACTACAGAGCTCCACACAGCACACTGAGGCATATTCACATGGAAGAAAAATATCTGTTATCTTGAGTGAGCTTGAAAGACAAGATTGTATCAGAGCTTCCACTACAGGAGACATGCTTAGTTGGCTAGAAGTAGTCCCAAAGGCGTTTACGTAGCAAATAATTCAAGTGGGTTGCTTGATTTGGTTTTGAGCTTAGTCCTCAAACTGCAGTTTCAAAGTGTATGTGAAAAGTCTGGCAATCAGATACAACATAGTTGTTCGTACTGTGAAGTATCAGGAAAGATTTAAAATAAATTCAGTTGAACCAAAGTGTACTGGTTAAATTCAAAGCATAGGTGTGGATTATTACTAATTACTGTTACTTTTTTTCTGGCAATGTTTCTTTCCTTTCTTAGCTCAAAACATCCATTTTCCATTTTTAATCTATCAGACTTCATGTTGTATCATTGTGTCACAGAGCCTTCCCAAAATGTTGTGGGTTGTCAGTAACTGGTGAGATATATTGTGTTTGAAACCCATGGCAACAATACAGAAGCCATCAAACCTGTTTTCAAAGAAGCTGTATGTTTTTAGGGTTGGATACAAAGGATGCTTTTATAGAAGTAATATCTGCCATGAAATTGGTTACATAGAGTCTATAGCACTTTGTAAGAAGTATTTCTGACATTCATAAATAAGGACTCTGATTATGCAATGTGAATAGAAATATCAAAGTTACTCTGCACTTCAAAGGAAATCTTTGTTTTTAATAAGATACTTTCACTTAGAGTACTTTAGAGGTAACTGACTTTTGACAAGTAGAGGTGACGCTTAAATTTTTAAACTGATAATTACTAAATAGTCATTTTCTTTCTTCACTCCCAGTTAATATTTGGAATGGTGATGTTTGTGTCGAGTATATAATGCTGCAGTCCACTTGGCATCCAAACTCAGAGGAGATTAACCCTTGGGCTGACCAGGCCATCTTTTTTGTCTGTGTCTGTTAACCAGGAGCTGTGCTTTGATGGTTTGATGGTTCACAAATAATTATTTACTTAGGATTAATTAAACTGAAAACTAATCTACAGCAGCTGGGGCTTCTCCTCTTGCAGTGTGAGTTCTCTGTTCCTCAGGAAATGTTTTTCGCTGTCTCCTAGCATCTATTTAACAGCTCTCAGGATAAAAATACTGGGAGTGAGTGTCAGAGACAAGTCAGTTAAAATGAATGCAAGACACTGTGTCATAGATTTAAGACTGATCAAATGTGCTGCCCGAACCAGAAGGGAGATTAGATAGATAGACAGACAGACAAAGGACCACAAAGTCTAGGAATAAAGGAGATGAAGCAGGAGATACTAAAAACTAAACCCAAAAGTTACAGGGTTTTTAACCCCCCTATTTTCTCTTCTGTGACTAGTTACAAAATCAAGCCAAAACCAACAGCCCTGCTGAAAATATAGGCTTGTGTCATGTCATGTATAAGTTGGCAAGCATCCAAGAATCGTACAGAATTTCCCAAATAATTTGGCACTGGGGATTTCCTCTTCGGTTGTTATCTGTGTTTCTCAAATCACATCTTAATTTCAATGCTGAGAATGTGTTTCTGTGTGACAGTGAAAGCAAGGGGAGAGATGTCATTAGCTTCCATGACACAAAAACAGTCTGTGACATTGTTAATACAAAATCACAAGGGTTCTCATTTTATATTTCTGAGAAATTATCTCTATACCCTACAGGTTCCTTTCATGTATGTCTGCAATACTGTTAGTTACTATTAATTTTTAATATATTTAACTTACAAAAGAAAATAAGATACAAATAAAATCTGATCTCATTCCCATTTGGTTTACATAGGAAATGGTGATACAAAAGAGTGTAATAAAAATGTATTAACTTTATTGTCCAAACTTCTGCTCTAGAGGTTAATTTTTCTGATGTTCCTTTCAGAAGTGTCATTCAATTGTATGATCTTCTGGGACAAGATAATTTTCTTTTTGTTTTAGATTTAGCGTAAGTAAATAAAAAAAAAAAAATGAAGCCTTGTGACTTCACCATTCTCATGCAGGCCTATCAGAATGAGTTTTTGCTGCAATAGATTTACAACATGGTGTCATGAAATGTGTAAACCTCAATGATTAACTCAGGGTAATCACCAAATCCTCTTTTCAGACTGGAATATTTTTAGCCTATAGCAAATCGATGTCAGTGTTTTCCATTTGTAAGAAGAGCCAGTAAATTATGAGGCAAAAAACATTCCAAGCCTGTGAGTTGCTCGTGTGTTATAATTGTTTTCAAGGGGCAGCAGTTTGAAGTTGCAGTAGCTGCTTTTGGTAGCAATAGCCACATTATGGAATTCTTGTGATAAGCATATGGAGCAGACTGGGATTTCTTATGCTTCCTGAATACCTGTGAATTTTGTGAACATTTTAATCTCTTTGCTGTAAGAAAGATATGGATTTAGATAGCTGGAAGGAAGTCTGGCTTTCAGAGTTACAGATGAGATGCCAGACAAATACAGTTACAGAAAGTTATATAACGAAGTTCTCAAAAATATTTATTATTCCAAAGCAACTATTTTGCTGTAGTTCTGTTATTTCAGTCACTGAAATGCAAGTGAAATTTTTTAATAAGGTAAGCATAAGATGTTTGCCTTTTGCCTTATTTTTGATGTGTGGATTTTCTACTTTGAGAATAAGTTGCTTTCAGTTATGACAAATACAGTAAAACCAGGGATTATTATGACACTATTGCCTATTTCTAAATTATTATAATGATTCCAAAGCCACACCACTACCATTAGAAGCACTGCTGTGAAAGTTATACTATGGCAGTTCTGAATTTCTTAAAGATTGATTAACCAAATTTTAGCGTCTTTACCAGGGCAGGTATTTCCCCTGATTCCTCACGTTAGTCCTTATTTATTATAGAACTTTGTACAGGATCTCAATTATTTTGCAATTCCTTCTGCAATGATTTTTACATCAGTTAAGAATTCAATGCTAGTGGATCATAGTTCAGGTTCAGTGTTTTAGTTACCATATTAATTTAATCCCTAGGACAATCTGGTGATCCAAGTAACTGTGGAATTCTTTTTGAGCACAATTTTAAGAAGTACAAACTTTTATTTAATACAATAAAAGTGCTATTTGAGGAAGTTTAAAGGGAAAATCAGGGCCATATCTCAGTGTTGAATTGATCCTACTGCGCTTACCTGATTTGCTTCAGTGGCGTTTAAGCAGGATGTAGAATTCTTAAAGTTTATTAGTAAACAAGTATTCGAGATCATATATTGTCATGCTCAACAATGAAACTGGACAGTTTTTCCAAAGTAGCCATTCCTAAGGGACTAGTTTGGTATCATTCTGCTGGTGATGAGTAATTGCTTTTGTATAACTTGTTTTTCTGTTCGATTTAAATTTTTAATTTTTTTTTTTTTACTTTGTGGGGTTTGTAGCATTATTTTTTTTTCTTTTGAGATAAAGGCAGTTTAATAATTGAAAGGAAAAACTCCATCCCAAAGAAACATAGTACAGTATTTTAACTGAGCAAGTAAAAAAGAAAAGGGCTCTGATAGCAAGGTATGTAATGCATCAGGAACTTACACAGTGATGCACTGAGAATTCTTCAGCTTATCTCTATTGGTGGCTATTTATGAATTCTGCAAAATTCTAAGTGAATTCCATTATGTGTTTGAAGCCTCTGGCCTCCAAAAGCTTGGTTCACAGAAAGCTACTTAATGGATGAAGAAGGAGCTGGGGGGTTACAAAAGAAAATTAATCTGCAGCACAGATTATGTTCATTATGGCTAGCGTATTAAAAAGTCTCTCTGCAGTCGCTTGAAAAGCCCTCATGAGAAGTAGTTTGGGAACCCCTGCAGGACACAATATATAGACAATATGTTGGTTCATCTTTTCAAATTGAGAGCTTACATCTGCCTCTTGTGTCAGAATAGGTTATAAATTCTTGAGGGCAAAGTCTGCCTGATTTGGAGAGGACATCATGGTCAGTGGTCCCATTATTGAAAAGCAGTGTTCCAGACGTCTGTTGTTTGTAAACTCCATTTTGATTAGAATAGTCAAAACTGAATTCCTTCATCCCAAGAGTGTCTATTTTTTCATCTCTCATGTGCAGAGGTCTCATTTGACATCTTTACTTTTTTTTTTTTTTTTTTTTCTCTTAAGGCTAAATGAAAAATCATTAGGTATTATTCTAAAATGAAATCTTTTCCTTTAATTATATTTGCTTAGCTGTTATAGAAATTTTAAAAATTTTTTAAAAAAATATGAAATTTACTCAAAATTAGTACTGTTGCTACTGTCTCATTCATGAAGAACCTGCCTCACCTACACATACAGTGCCAGCATCTGGGCTATGGTTGAGCAAAGATACATTGTGCTCTTTTTTCAGTGCTTTACAGTATTTAATAAATATTTAACTTGAGGAGAGTTAATTTACTGAATAATTATTTTCATTTGAAATGAAAACTGCCTCTATCCCTAGACATGATTCTACCAATAATGTCCCAATACAAGGTATTAGAGGAGTAGTTACAAGTAATTCTACTCATTTCTAGACATCAGGCTAAGGAACCAGAAATATTGATTTAATGGGCACAGTTTGCATCATACCATCCTCACTCTACACCAGAATATGTATAAAGAATAATGTGATGATAGTGCAAGTGAGAGATACTTGCTCTATTCCAGTTGAGTCTTGTAGCTCAACTAATCAGTATATTTTGGTCTAGACAAGAAACATAAATCACTCTTTTCAGACTATCTCAGTTTCTATGAAAAAATACATCCCCCTCTCTGTTATGGTCTCCTTATGTGCGGAGGTTACAACAGCAACTGGCAGTTTCATGTTGATTTTCATCTCCCACTAATGTTCTGTATTTCACAGAGGAAATGAGAAATCCCCAAGGTGGTGAGCATCCCTTTCCTTCAAATGATGAATGGAAAGTGTCAGTGCTGACAGGAAATGCAGGAACTGAAGCAAATGTCATTCTCTGGATATATGGAGACAGAGGAGTAGCTGGAACAATAACTCTTGGCAAGGACAACAGAAAGCAGCTGTTTCTTCCCAGCCAGGAGGATGAATTTCAGGTAGCTAATGAAGGCTAAGAACATTAGTCTAATGTGTACCTTTCCAAAGATTATTCTGTCATGTGAAAAGAAAAAACATTTTTCTCCTACGTTTACTGCATCAAATAAATCTCTGCATTAAATCAGTTTGTTGCATATAGTTAGCAACAGAGAAAATGCTCCCCCTAACCCCTTCTCCCTCATATGGTAGCCTAAATAGGACAACTGCAGAAGTCAGTTGATATCTTTAAGTAACTGATTTGAAACTAGCTGTAGAAATATCCACTCCTAAATAAGCTGTGTCTCATGTAAGACTTTAGTAATGAAATCTTCATACATACTAGAAAATGTATACTGTGGGAGGGATTCAGTTAAGGAAGAAACCCCTTTTTTCAGCTGCCATATCATAACTAGCTGAAATGCCAGAGGCTTTACCTAAGGAATTAATAAGACCCCAATAGAACCTATATGTTATCAGGTCAAGAAAACACAAAGAATTCTGCTATTATTGAAGAATCACCCTATCTCTATTGTAATAAGGAAATTATGTCTAGGTCAGCTGAGAGGGTATTACCAAAGGGGTTAAAACTTCTGATTTGCTTAAATCTTTCTGTCTGAGATGGGTGTAACGCACTGCTATCTTCAGCTAATGGAAGAAATTATATTTTTCACGCTCTGTGCAAATTTTTCTGCACTTATCAACTCTTCTATTACCATCTTGACACTAACCAAGATTGTTAATGTCAATAATATTAATAATAATAATAATCTCTATGAGTAGGACATAGGCAGAACATAACCAACTGTAATGTTCATTTTCTAAATATGCAGGCTATATTTTATGATCCATGGGAAATCCTCTTCTCCTCATTAGTGAATAATTTATAAGCAATGCTGGGTAATGGCATGTTTGCAATGTTAATCCATACATTCTTAAAAGACAGACCAATTTTTCTCCTCTAAAATAGATGTTGCCCATTATGGCTGCACATTGTGGATATTGATCTTGTGAGAGAGCAGAATCTTTCTCTCAGCACCTGGGGCTACTACTATGATTCTTTACATCATGCTGACACTATTGCTTTCAGGCATGAAACAGCAAATGTCACCAATGTGCTTTTCACTCTGGTCTGCAGTAGATAAATCCACAAAGAAAAAGCCTATGAGTATGAGCTCTTTTTTTTTTTTTTCCTTTAAACTTTATCCTGTACTTCTTTAACAGGGTAAGTCTTGAAATGAAGATAGGACTATAATACTTTAAAAAAACAAATTGCATCTTCTTTTTATCACTTACATTTTTGTGCTTGATATGGTTTCACTGATATTTTCTAGAACAGAAGATAACAAATTTTATTTTTTAAAGTAATCGACATAATAATAGCTCTGTTGGAGTTCTAGAAAGAGAACAGCTTCTGAAAAGCCAGTAATTATCAGGCATTTTGGTGTCAGTTTTCTTTTAAACTTCCACTTCATCAGCAGTTTATACAGTTATGAAAAATTCTAGTAGAACTACCTCAAGAACTGCAACCATTCATATATTTTTTTCTCTATTTTTCCTTACCCATGTGAATAATCACTGTCTGCTTATTCCTTTCTGAGCCTATGCATGAGAAAAAATCAAGAAAGATAACACAGGAGTCCTTCTAGGAAACCTTTGCTTGTTTTAGGTAGAAGTCACTCCTTGCATTCTGGCAAGTTCAGTACACTTATGTTTTATATTGATACAAGAAATTATCGTGTAACTTTTTTTTTTTTTAAACAAAAGCCTAATGATAGATTAATTAGGGAAAAAAAAAAAAGACAAAACAAACATACATCATGATAGTGCTGCATATTCAGTGAACACCAGCTCTGTGAATGAGAAGACAGCATCTCCTATTGCTTGAGAAGTGGGTGGGTTGGTTGGTTTGTGAAATGTGGGAAATGACCACAGTTGGCTTTTCAGTCAAACTGTGTACATGCCCTTACTTTGCTCCTGCTTTAAACCTAAAGTCTCCAGGTTCCTTCTAACAAGACCAATTATAGAGAGAAATATTATGCAGCATAAGCAAAAATATCAGAACCTGGCTCTGCAGAAAAAATTATTTTCTTAAGCCAATGAAAAAGACTGGAACCAGACTGTCACATCAGTGTTGCAAGCCTGGAGTTAGCATTTATCTTGTTAATTAAATTCAGGTCAATGTAATAACTATACCAATATACACAAGTGTGAATTCCTCAAATTCTTTCTCAAACAATCATTGTGATTTAGGGAGTGCTTTTCAGTGTTAGGGAAATCAGGGGTAAAAGTTGTTCGCTTCTGGAAATCTTTTGATGAAAGTATGGTAACACCTTGACTATAATGTAAAAAATTTTTACAGAAAAGCACAAAGAGACAGTTGAAATCTGGTATAGGAGCTAAGGTAATTCTGACCTCTGAAAACAGAAGATGGCTTTTCATTAATGAAGGTAAAGAATGAATGGGTAACATACTAGTAGGTGTTTCTAAGAGAATCAAAGATCATTTTTGTACAGTGTAAATAGCTTTTTTGGATGTAAATGATGGTGTGGAGTAGGCTGTTAGCAACCTTTTATTAATAGAGCTATTTGAGAAATAATATAATAGCACACTTCCTTTTCCTTTCCTAGCAGTACACTACAAATGATCTAAAAAGATTTATGCTCATATTAAGTAATGGTTAAACTGCAAATTGACCCCATTTAAGTGGGGTAGGGTTGCATGGAGGAGTATATTTCATAAGAAAGAGCACATATAATGCTTGAAAGTGCAAATGAATGCAAATCGCTGTTCAGAAAATGAAGATAGTACTGGTGATTTTCAGAGTTTTGCAAACGTTCTGCTTGCTTTTGAGAGCTTATTCTTTAAGGTCTCCAAAAGTTTACATTCTTCACTTTGGCATACTAGAGTTTATGGTCATGTTGCTGTGCTGCTTTATGGAAGATTGATGACCTGTGATTTAGTGGATTTAATTTTATATTCCACATTTCTCTCATGAAAGGCCCTCACCAACATTTTTTACTTTTCAAACTTTGAAGAGTTCAAATACCTGCCAAATGGTTTCCCTGGCAAGCACTGTGAATTCACTAGGCTATAATCTGGTCAAACTGGGGCTCAGGCAGAAATCTGCTTAGACAAAACCACCAAGGTTGCTTTTCTAACCTTAATTCCACGATTCTAAGATCATCAAGTCCAACCATCAACCCAACACTACCATGACCACTAAACCATGTCCCAAAGTAAACAGAAGCAGTCTCTTTTCTGGATCTTGTGATCCTGAATCTGCCAATCCAATGTTATGCACTGTTCCTTATACTCCGGTACTACCATAGCTCTGAGAAACCTGGAAACAATCGCAAAGATAAAAATGCAGTTTTACACATGGTTTGATTGGTTTGTTTGTTTTTCCCCCACATGTGATATAACTATTTTTTTTCCAGCAATACCAGCCAAATTGGCAAAATGTGCATAAATGAACTGGATTTTGGAATTATTTTACACGTGATGATTGAAAATGCAAGAACAGGAATGTTAGGCTCGTGTTTGTTTGGGTTTTTTAAAAATTTCTTTTTATTTTTTTTCCTGTTTGTAGGGGGACTGTGTTTGTGGGGTTTTGTTTGGTGGTTGTGTTTTTTTTGTTTTGGTTTTTTTTTTTTTTGGTGTTTGTTTGGTGTGTGTATGTTTTTGTTTTGGGGTTTTGTTTGTTTTCAAGATGTCCTGAAGGCTGTTTTAAGCACAGAATTCATAGGCCTGTGCTTGCCATTGGGATACTCCTTCCATGTGTGTGGGAGATACAGACTGAGATGTCTTTTAATAATGAACTGCATATAGTGTTAGTTTTCAAGGTACAGTCTTAATCAACATGCAGCCTCTACCACAGAAGTTTAAATCGTAAGTTTTATATATATTTGTCTGTAGTTATATATTGTGTTTTTCTGGCTTTATCCAGGTTAAAATAAAAAGCATGGGGTATATCTACAAGATAAGAATTGAACTTGATGAATTACTGAATGAACAATCAGAGGGGAACTTACAAAGGGTGAGACATTTCACTATTTTTTTTCTGCTTTAACAATTTTAGATGAACTAAAAGCCTATCTTTTCATGAAGCCACAGCTTCATAAACCAAACAGTGCTGATTGCGATATGATCGTATTGCTCTGTCTTCCTATATTGCTTTAGAGATGACAAAAGCCCTGGTACAGTCTGTCTTCTGACAGATGGAAATATCTAGCATTTTTTTGCTATTATTCCTCAATGTAGTTCATAGATCACAATTTTAGTGTATTGATGGGTTCTACCACGTTTTGCTGTCTGAAAGCTCACCTGTACACTGAAGTGTATGTCAGGGAGAAGTGAGCTAGCTATAAATTCTATTATTACAAATAATTAAAAAATATTTCTAGCTACAAATTTCAGCTATGAAAAACGGACAATGGTGGAGCAACAGCAGTCCCATGGCAAGTATATGTGAAGAATGAACAAATTTTGCTTAAGAATAAGCTAGTCCTAGTTGGCCCAAACATATATCAAAATTAGGTCTGTTTTCAGGGAAAAAGAAACTGCTGTTTCGTTTGGTTTGTTTTTCAATTTGGTGAATGAAGTCTTCTTTTCTGCTTCTGTTTCAAATCTTTGTTTCTCATGATATTTAGGGGTGTTCACCAAATCAAATTCATACTAAACTATTGCTGACACTGACCTCCATGTAGGATTTATTTCAGAATTGTACGTAAGTTTGTCTTCTTGCTCTTTGCCTATGGGTTATTATTTTGAATCTGTAAAAGACAGAAGCTTATCTTTCAGCCTTCATCTTAAAAATCCTGATTTGGGCAACCAGAATCACACAGTAATAACAGATTTTGATATTAACCCAAAGGCCTTAAATGTAACAGTACAAAAAATGACCATTAAGTAAAAATATTTCAATTTCTTAAATGGTTTCAGGAATCCTGCTTTCTATCCTGGTGGTTACAAAATATTTGTTTAACATTGTGGTCCAAATTTCATATGGTAACACTATGATTTCACGTTTCTTTTTACAAAAAGAAATAAATGAGGTTGAAAGCTGTGTTTTTCTGACAATGTTAATATTTGCAATTGTTGGGTATCAGCAGGGGGAGCTCTGCCAATGAACATTAGAGATTAAGTATCACTGCTGCAAAGGTATTTCATGTTGGAATAAATACAGGTTTTGGTGTTGAGAGAAGTCTTTATTTTACTGAAAATAATATTTTATTGGAAAAATGAGATAAAGGCATATATTGTCCTGATTTCCTAAGTCTTAGGATTTGAATGAGAATACTTGTTTTTGTAATTTTGTTTGCAGGGTTTATGCATACTACAGGCACATTCAAAACAGAACTGCAGAAAGACAATGTTATGGCACTGATCTCCTTTTGTTAGTGAAAAGCTGTGGGAAAAAAAATGCATTAATGGTTGTAACAATTCAAACAAATAGAATTCAAATTCTGAAGTTATCTTCAGACAAACAAATAGAGGGTGCTGGTACCTGGGTTGTCTTTTGTTTTGCTGTAGAAGATGATTCAAATACCTAGTAATTGATTTAATATTTCAACATATCCTCTCCTTGCCAAAGTTCAGAAGGATAAAAGTGTTGAGTTTCAATCTCGTTTCATTTTAATATAAAAATCTATCAATCTTTCCACATCTTCCAAAAGCTCAGTCCAGCCTAACCTCACCAGAAAGTTTTCAGTCTTCAGTACTCCAGACAGTAATACAAAGAGGTGATTCTCTGACACAAATTAGAATTGGTGACACATCTCATGGCAAAAAAAAAAAAGGAACTTTCAAATACAGATTTATTTGTTGCAAGAATAAGATAATTTTAAAGTCCAAGGCATATTCAAAGACTAGATGCTTGCAGATTCATCTGCAATACCACATTTGTGAATAAAGACCCTCTCTAACAAGGAGTCAAGATGCGAAGTAGTGGCCAAAATAAAATTGCTTTTACACTGCTATTTTGTATGTCATATTTATGCATCCTGTTACTGTTTTCTAAGGTGCAAGAAAATATATTTTTAAAAAAATGTTTTGCTGTTGAGAAGCAAAGCAC